AGGCTAGCGCTCTACCACTTGAGCCACAGCGCCACTTCTGGCTTTTTTCTTTTTGCTTATGTAGTGCTGAGGAATCGAACCCAGAGCCTCATGCATGCAAGGCAAGCGCTCTACCACTGAGTCACCTTCCCAGCCCCCCTCATCTGATTCTTAAAGCAAGGCATTTTAAAATAGAGACTTGAATAGAGATGAATGAGATTCTCTTTGCCTAAACTATTGAAAACATAAAAGCATACAACTAGGGGCTGGGAAGGTGGCTTACTGATTCCTCAGTACCAAATAAGCAGAAAAGGCCAAAAATGGTGCTGTGGCTCAAGTGGTAGAGTGCTAGACTTGAACAAAAGAAGCTCAGGGACAGTGCCCAGGCCCTGAGTTCAAGACCCAAGACTGACTGGCAAAAAAAAAAAGCATATATTCTATACAAGCAGTTCCTAAGTCAATTGTGTCCTAAACCCTATTTTTTCCAGATGATAATCTATTCATTATGAAAATTGAACTTAATTTTAAAAGGAAGTCAATGTTTTAAGTTCATAAAGATAAATGCCTTTTTTTTGGAATTTGTCAGGTAAATCCCTTTAATTTTGTTGAAATTTGTTTTGTGCCCAAACATACTTTTTTAAAATTATTTTATTTTTGCCAGTCTTGGGGCTTGAACTCAGGGCCTGGGCACTGTCCCTGAGCTTCTTTTGCTCAAGTCTAGCACTCTACCACTTGAGCCACAGCACCTCTTCTGACTTTTTCTGTTTATGTGGTACTAAGGAATTGAACCCAGGGCTTCATGCATGCTAGGCAAGCACTCTACCATTAAGCCACATTCCTAGCCCCACACGGTTTTAAACTTATTTTTTATTATTTATTTATGTCGGTTGCAGGGCTTGAACTCTGGGCTTGGGCACTGTCCCTGCGCTCTTTAGCTCAAGGCGAGCACTCTACCGCTTGAGCCACAGCGCCACTTCCCACATGGTTTTATATTAAAGAATATATCTGGTTTATATAGAGAATGTATGTACCTCTCACAAAGAAAATATACCCTGCTATTGTGGAGAAGACTGCCCTATAAATGTCTATTAATGTTTTTATGCCAGGTATGGTGGTACATACCTGTAATCCCAGGAGGCTGAGGCAGGAGGATTATGAGCTTGAGGTCAGCCTGGGCTACACAGTGAGACCATAGCAGAAGGAAGGAAGGAAGGAAGGAAGGAAAGAAGGAAGGGAGGGAGGGAGGGAAGAAGAGAGGGAGGGAGGGAGAGAAAAAAGAGGAAAAATGAAAGAAGAGGAAGAAGGAAAGAAGAAAGAAAAAATAAGGAGAGAAGGGGGAGGGGAAAGCACTGATTTGTAGTGCTGCTGCATTCTGTTTTCCTTTCTTTGGAGTTGCTCAATCCATCATTGAAAGTGGAGTAGGGAACTCTCCAACTATTGTTATTGAATTGTTCACTTCCTCCTTCTAGCTAATCCCCACCCATTTACTCTGAGGCTCTATTAAGTGTGTGTACATTTACCATTGCTACGTCTTCTTGATGGATTGGCCCTTTGTCATTAAAAAACTCATGCCTGTCTCTAATTACAATGTTTGTGTTAGAGTCTATTTTGTCTGCTATTAGCATACTCACTCTTTTGATTTGTTTTTCTTTTACCCATTTACTTTCTATCTATTGTGAATCAGGAAGGAGACTCTTTTTTTTTTTTTTTGTCTTGGGGTTTGAGCTCTGGTCGTGGGCGTGGGTGCTGTCCCTGACCTCTTCAGATCAAGGCAAGCACTCTACCACTTGAGCCACAGCTCCACTTCCAGTTTTCTGGTGGTTAACTGGAGATAAGAGTCTCCTGGATTTTCCTGTCCAGGCTGGTTTTGAACTGGGATCCTCAGCCTCCTGAGCAGCTAGGATTACAGGTGTCAGCCACTGGTGCCCAGCTGAAAGGAGACTCAACAATTTATAGTTGGACTTTATTTTTAGCCATTCTTCTGATCTCTAGCTTTTAACTGAAGAGTTTGATCCACTTAAGTGTGTGATAATATAAGGTACTAATGTAATGTGATGATGTAAGTTGTTATTTTACTCTTTGTTCCATTTGCCTCTTTTTTCCCCCCTCTCTTCCTCCTTTTAAAAATTTTAAACCTAGTCCTGGGGCTTGAATTCAGGATCTGAGTGTAAGGTCCTCTCCTGGATGGTGAGCAGACTCCACCCTCCTCGCAGCAAAGTCTCCACCCAGTACCTGCGTTACCTAGGCAACTGGGACACCTGGAAGGTCACATCTGCATCCGCTGAGGTCACATCTGAATTTGATGTGGCCACACCTTTCTCTGTCCATACCCTAGATAAGGCCTAGTGCAGGCCCAGACTCTCTCTCTCTCTGCTCTTTTCTAGCTCTTACATTTTCTAGCTATTTTCTCTTTTCTAGCTCTCTTAGCTCTTTTCCTCAGCTCTCTCTCTCTCTTTCCCAGTTCTCTCTCTCTTTCCGAGGCTTTGAACCATGATCCTCAGATCTCAGCCTCTGGAGTAGCTAGGGTTACAGGCATGATCCTCTGGTGCTCAACTGATTCTCTTTGTTTTCCGTAGCTCTGAGACAGAACTAAGTAAGAAAAAAAAGGAAACCTCAGACTGGCTGAAACGATGCTTATGTCCCTCAAAGGGCACAAGCACGGGCACAGTGTGTGAGGACATCCTATCTCTCATTTCCTTTAACCGTATTATTTTCTCCTCGTTGAAGCATAGAGCCACCAGGTCCAGTTCGGATTATCATTTGCCTCTGTGGAGATTGTTGTACTGCATAGCTGTTGTAATAAAAAAAATTTTTTTGAGCACGTTGGTTTACAGCATGACATGACAAGATATATGATTCATGGAATATGTATTCCAGTAGAAAGTAAAAAGGTTACTGTAAGGTCCACTCCTGGATGGCGAGCAGACTCCACCCTCCTCGCAACAAAGTCTCCACCCAGTACCTGCGTTACCTAGGCAACTGGGACACCTGGAAGAGGTCACATCTGCATCCGCTGAGGTCACATCTGAATTTGATGTGGCCACACCTTTCCCCGCCCATACCCTACATAAGGCCTAGCCCAGGCCCAGACGCGCTCTCTTGCTCTTCTTTTCTAGCTCTCTCTTGCTCTTGCTCTTCTTTTCTAGCTCTCTCTTGCTCTTGCTCTTCTTTTCTAGCTCTCTCTGCTCTCTCTCTGCTCTAGCTCTTTCCTCTCTCTTTCCTCTCTTTCCCAGCCGCGTGGAGTGCCAACCTTGCCTAGTCCCAGCAGGTCCACTGAATAAACCTACCCCTTACCTGAATACCACGTGAGTGCTACTGTTCTTACCCCTCTCTCTGCTCTTTTCTAGCTCTTTCCTCTCTTTCCCAGCTCTCTCTCATTCCCAGGCCTTTCCCAGCTACATGGAGTGCCAACCTTGCCTGGTCCCAGCAGGTCTACTGAATAAACCTACCCCTTACCTGAATAACACGTGCGTGCTGGTGCAGTTCTTACTCGGGTACCTCTTTTTAAAAACCTAACAGTTACTATAATGAAAGAGATGAATGGATGTGCCATTTTATAGCCATACATTTTGGTGGGTGTGACAAAGATCTTGTTTAATCCCAAATACAATTTTGTTCTCTGTGGACCTCATGTTGTACCTTAGATCTCTGGCCCCCAGGCACCCTACAAAGCTGTTCATTTACACCCTTGGACCTCTGTCATCTCCTCTCCTCCCCATTTGTGGTAAATAGGTGCTCCATCTGCATATTTGAGATTTGTAAAAAAAAAAAAATTATTTTATGAGCACAAATTTTATTTCATAGTTTACCCAGAGAGAGAATTAGGATTTCACTTTCTGCTTCTTTTGCTTACCTGTTATGGACACTTTGTCAGACTGTTGCTCAGTGTTAGGGGCCTAGCTTGGTATTTGCCTATGAGCTTTAAAAATATAAGATCGTGTAGTATCTGTCTTTATGTGTCTGGCTTATTATTATTATTACTATTTTCTGTACCAGTCCTGGGGCTTGAACTCATGACCCAGGCTTCTTTGCTCAAAGCTAGCATGCTACCACTTGAACCACAGCTCCATTTGCACCTTTTTTCTTTATTTTTTTTTTTTGCCAATCCGAGAGCTTGAACTCAGGGGCTGAGCACTGTCCCCTGGGCTTCTATTTTTTCCCCCTCTAGGCTAGCACGCTATCCCTTGAGCCACTTCTGGCTTTGCATGCGGTACTGAGGAATCGAACCCAGGGTTTCCTGCACGCTAGGCAAGCGCTCATTTCCAGCCATTTTTGTTTTTCAATGGGAGATAAGCGTCTCACAGAGTTTCCCGCCAGGGGCTGGCTTCGAACCATCGTCAGATCGCAGCCTCCTGCGTCGCTAGGATGACCGGCATGAGGGCCCTCCCCCCCCTCCCCCCTTGTCTTAAACACGTTACTCGGAAGACGCCGGTTCCCTCCGTGTCTGAGGTTCCCGGCACGTCACACGCGAGTAACGCGAGGGCGGGTGCGGGAAGCACGCGTGAGGAACGTGGCCGCGGGACGTGGCGGCCAGGAGGTTGGGGCTCGGGGAAGAGCTCCGCTCTGCAAGCTAGTCACAGCCTCTCCACGCTGAAAAACGGCAGCGGAGGCCCGACCCCACTGACCGGAGAAGACCCTTCCTCTCCGCACCGAAACGTCTCTCCGGAGCGGCGGCGCCTCCGCCTCGGCCGGGGGAAAGCGGGGCTCCGAGGCCGCGGGGCCTCCCTTGGCAACCGACAGCGTCTCCCGTTGCTAAGGGGAAAAAGGAACCGCGGAGACGCGGGTTCGTCAGCTATTCTTCTCCGGCGGGAGTCACTTCCGGTCCTCTCGGGAGCTTGTCCTCCGGGCTATCTTTTCCCTCCTCCCCGCCCCCCCCTCCCCTCCCGAGGAGGTGGGGTCGTAACTGCGGGTGCCGCCGCCTGGGGAGCCTCGGGAGCGGTCACGGAGGCGGCGGGGACGGCGGGGACGGCGCCTGGCCTCCGGCGGGGGCCACCATGCTGAGCTCCCGGGCCCAGGCAGCCATGGCCGCGGCTGACAGGGCCATCCAGCGCTTCCTGCGGACCGGGGCGGCGGTCAGGTGAGCTTCAGGGGGCGGGGCGGGGCGGCCGCAGACGCCCGGGCCCGGGGGCGGCCTTTCCGCGCACACCCGCGTCGATGTCACCGGGCGGGCCGAGGACTCCGAAGCTCCTGGGTCCCGAAGGGTCGGAGGAGGCCCCGAGGAAGGAGGGTGACGCCACTCTGGGTCCCCAGCCCTGCGGCGGCACCAGTTCGGTCTGTACCCCTCGAGGCCTCTCGCCGCCCCCCACCCCTACCCCCGCCTGCGTTGCCTTCTCCATCCTGTCAGTGGCCCCGGACTTCGAAGCTCCCGAATTCTATCAGCGCCCCCTAAGCCTGTCGAGACCCCTCCGTCTTCTTAGGATACCCGGATCCTTCTGGGCTTCCCAGTCATTGTCAGCCCCTGCACTGACCCGGGGCTCCTCAATCCTGCCTCGGTTCTCACAATCATGTAAGTGTCCCAGGCCTGCAGACCCATCTTGTCAGGACCCCCCCTATTCCTGTTGTCGCCCCCACCCCATTCTGCCAAGAGGGATCTCCACGTGTTCACGCCTCCACAACCCCCCCCCCCCCCAACCAGTCCTGCTTACAATTTCAGGCTCTTTATTCCTTCCAGGACCCCATTGTCCCTAGTCCTGTCACAGCCCCCATTTCTCTCCTCCTATTCACCTTCCAAGAGCCCCAGGCTTCAGAGCTGAGCGTCACACCCCTATTGCTGACTGACCCTAGATGCCTGAGACCTGTGGCTCAGATTGGCTTCCTCTGGAACTAGGGCAAAATAGCTTCTTATGTAGGACTGAAAGCCTGTTTTGGACCTTGATTTCAAGGTGGGGATGTGGGTCTTAAGACATCCTTGCCCCAGAACATACTGAAGAACTGATCAAGGAGATTTCTTTACCTCCAAGTCCTACATCTCCTCCTGGTGTTAACTTTGAATAGGAATGGAATTTCCAGACTGTCTGGTGGCTCACACCTGTAATCCAAGCTACTCTGGAGGCCGAGATCTGAGGATCATGGCTGAAAGCCAGCCCAGGCTGAAAAGTCCATGAGACTCTTGTCTCCAATTAAACATCAAAAGGCCAGAAGTGGAGCTGTGGCTCATGTGATGAAGGGTCAGCTTTGAGTGCAGATGTTAAGAGAAAGTGCCCAGGCCTGAGTTCAAGCCACAGTGCAAACTAGTGCATGCATGCACGCACATACATGTACACATGTATCCCCCCAACACACACAGAATGAAGTTTCCAGAGCCCTTCTTTGTTCCCTGAGGTTTTCACTTATACTTGGACAAGTTCTATCTCCCTTCCTTTCAAATCTGTATCTTTCAGTTTTCCTAGTGGACTCTGTGTGTGTGTGTGTGTGTGTGTGTGTGTGTGTGTGTGTGTACTGGTTTTGGGGCTTGCACTCAGGGTCTCATGTCTAGCACTGTACCACTTGAGCCACAGCTCTACTTCAGCCTTTTGCTGGTTGCATGGAAGTAAGAGTGTTATGGGCTTTCCTGCCCAGACTGGCTTTGAACCATGATCCTCAGCCTCCTCAGTAGCTGGGATTACAGGTGTGAGCTACCAGTGCCTGGCTCCCTAGTGAACTTTTCATGGCTTTAATCCAGACTTTGAACTTGGATTCAGATCCAACTTGGATTCAGATCCACATTCGTTCACTCTGCCAAGTTTTCTGTGTCTCCCAGCTCCCTCCTCTTTCAATATGAGAGTCATATAATAGGACCTACATCCTTGGGATTGAGTGAGTTTGTTGGTTTTGTTTTGTTTTTGTTTTCTAGTTTCTTAATTCAAGGTTTCACTCTATCTCACACAGGTCTCGAACTTTCAATCTTTTTTGTCTTCACCTTTCCAGGGCAGGGATTATAGGCATATATCAACACACCTGGCCTTTGGGGTTGTTGTGAGGAGAGCTAAGATGATCACAGTGCTTGAAATAGTGTGAACCTTAAGTTTAGGGTCTGATTAGATTTTTTTTTTGCACCAAGCAGGGTTTAATTAGATTTGAAAACACTTCCAGGGCTGTAGCTTGTCAGTGGCAGTCTTCTTTAATTCCCAGCCACTTCTGTGCAGGTACCTTGTGAAAAACAAGGTGACACATTAAGAAATCTGAAGAGTAACTCCATGAATGAACTGGAGTCATTGTACTTGCAAGTGTGGTAGCTAAGTGTTTAAAGACACAGTCCAATTCCTGTTCATTTACTTTAACATAAAAACAGGTAAGGGGTTGACTGGTTATTTTTTGACAAAATATTATTCTATAACTGTATGTATACCCATACCCTGGATTTGTGATGGGAGAGGACAGTGAACATGTTTTCTTTTCTAGATATAAAGTCATGAAGAACTGGGGTGTTATAGGAGGAATTGCCGCTGCTCTTGCAGCAGGAATATATGTTATTTGGGGTCCCATTACAGAGAGAAAGAAGCGTAGAAAAGGTAAGAATTGGGTCAGCATGTAATGGTCTGTGCATTTGACGCAAACCCCTTTTGTTTGGGAGTAGTACAGAAAGCTGGGGAGTGGGTCGAATTTTGTTCTCTTGTATCCTCATCTAGGACTTGGGTCTGTGAAGTAGTACTTTTACATTGTCTCATGATTTTTCTACCCAGTAGTAAAAGGACATCTATTCTAGCCTTTTTCCAGACTTGGGTTTAGGGAATGTGTTGTAATGACATATTTCAAGTGGCTTAATTGTTCTCATTCAGATGGCAAGTGTGTTTTCAGTAGTTCAGCTGACTAATTATGTCATGCATTTGTGGTTTCTCTGAGTCCCTGCTAGCAGCTAGCCAGTAAAAATCAAGTTAGTTTCTTCATTCATTAAAAAAAATTCATTTCCTTATTTTTTTTAAATGTCCTGTGTTGTAAATACTACTCTACTTAACATTGACTCAAATTCAGGAAGAACGAAAGGGATGGAAAAGAAAAAAAAAGAAGGGATAGAGGTAGCCAAATTTGATCACAGTTCAATTTGAGGGAGGTTATAATGAGATTCACTATAAATTCTCATGCATGTTGGAGAGCTTTGATATTACAAGTTGTTTTTTTTTTCTCAGCCAAAGAGGGAATGGTAGCAGATTCTGTTGATCACAGCAGAGCAGTGGGTCAGAATTGGTGGAGTTTTTCCTTCCTCTTGTTCTCCTGAAAGAACAAAGTCATTGTTCTTGGACCCACAACAGAGCAATTGTTTTGTGTTCTGAGAAACATGGCTGTTACTGAAGAGGAGACAGTGAGAGAATGAGGGAGGGAAAGAGAGAAGATCTGGTTTACTTTTTTCAGATAGTTAATGATAAACCAATCTGTGCCAGATACCCCATGGGCTTCAGAGTGAACACATAGCTGAGACCTGGCCCTCTGTCACTTAAAATCTGAAGGAGTATCAGGACCCAGGTTGGCCCAGGCAGAATGCCTGACCCAGATCTCTGTGGCAAAGGATCTACTCAGATTAGGATTCCAGATTTAAGGTCACACTGCAGAACCTCGGGTACCAAATAGGAGAGAAGAGGAAGTTGCTCCATGGCCATGTGCTGTCCTCCCCATCTGCATTTTTTTTCAGGGCTCGTGCCTGGCCTGGTGAACTTAGGGAACACCTGCTTCATGAACTCCCTGCTGCAGGGCCTCTCGGCCTGCCCCGCGTTCATCAAGTGGCTGGAAGACTTCACCACCCAGTACAGCAAGGACCAGAAGGAGCCCCCGCCACACCAGTACCTGTCCCTAACACTGCTGCACCTCCTCAAAGGTACAGGGGGGCTCGAATGGGACCATAGGCATGGTCACAGAAGCCCGGGCGGCAGGTGACGAAAAGGGTGAATGGCTTGATTGTAGGAAGGATCAGGTGGGTCATCATGGAAAAACACTGAGACACCAGTAGATAAAAAGGTTTGTGGGTTTTTTCTTTTGTTGTTGTTGTTGCTGTTTGCTCAAGGCTAGCCATGACTTCACTTCCAGCTTTTTAGTGGCTCATCGGAGGTAAGAGTCTCATGAACTTTTCTGTTCAGTCTGGTTTTGAACCACAATCCTCAGATCTCAGCCTCTTGAGTTGCTAGGATTACAGGTGTGAGCCACCAGCGCCTGCCCTTCGTTCACTTTTGTAGCTGTATGGCATCTGCTTAGTTTTCTGCATCCTCACAAAGAGGCTGTGGTGAGCTTCTTTTACTCACAGCTGCTCGTGCCCATAAGTACATTTCTTTAGCAGATCCTGAAAAAGCCAGTTGCTGTATTGTGAGTAAAAAATGATTAGCAGACTTTGCCCTGTTGCCCCATAGCCTGTGAGTCAAAATTAGGTTAAGGGAGACATTGGACTTCTTCTTGGATGAAAGATGCGAATGGAAGAACTGCTGAAAGAGAGCGGCTGGAGGAAGGGAAGTGCAGTTCCTTTTTCAGTTCTGCTCCCTTGGTCCTGAAGGGTAAAGGGCCAGCCCTGGCCTGCCTACCTTCATGTGCCACGCTTCATTCAGGCTTTCCTAGCACCAGCTGCCCACATGGCCACACTCAGGGCTGAGGATGGAGATAGATTGGGCAGATTGCATCTGAAGTATATAAAGGACTCTCTCCTGTCCACTGACTGTAAATCAAAGCCTGGGGAGGCAGTTTGTGTGGGGAGTCATTGAGCTTACAGACACTGCTGAGAGGGCAGGCCCTGCTTCTTTATCTCTCAACATACCAGTAGCAGAGTATGTGATCAGCATCAGGAGCCCACACTCTGCACATCTGTGGGCCATATGAAGGGCCCTTACAAAGTTTTATCAGAGCTGGGCACCAGTGGCTTACACCTGTAATCCCCGCTACTCAGGATGCTGAGATCTGAGGATCGTAGTTCAAAGCCAAGAAAGTCTGTGAGACTGTAATTTACAATGAACTAGAAGTGGTGCTATTGCTCAAAGTGGTAGAGTGCTAGCCTTGAGTGAAAAGCTCAGGGACAACAGCCAGGCTCTGAGTTCAAGCCCCATGACTGACAAAAAAAAAAAAAAGGTTTTATCAGGGCATAGCAACACTCCATTGTGTTATCTGTGGCTGTTTTGTACTACAGCCACTGAGTTGAATACTTGTATAGACACATATAGCCCATTAACACACACAATTAGTTATAAGACTAACCCCTGATCTAGATGTGATCATCAACTTATAAGTCTACCAAGCTCCCTCTTTTTTTATCATTCATTAATTCATTTATAGACCAGGCAGTCTCCAGACTAATGGCTCAAATGATTCTTCCTCCATCCCCTTCCTAGTAGCTGGCACTACAGGTGCATACCACCATGCTGGTCAAACTTTTACTTTATTTTTTGTTCATTAGATTTGTTTCTACTTTTTGATTGAAAAGTAAAGCATTCAGCAACCCTGCTGGCTGCCCCACGTAGCTAACACCTTGTGCTGGGATCATAAAGATGAAAATACAAGCAAAGACTGAGTTAGCCATGGGAGGGGACTGGGGGCTGAGTTAGACACTGAGCTGGACTAATAAGATAGGAGGCCCTTTGACACTGAGGATTGTGAGTTCAGATCATTCAACTCAACATGTATCTGCAAGCAGGACATTTGTATTGATGGTAGTTTGAAGATCCAGAAATCAGTTACTTCATTTGCATACTACAGTCTCATGAAAGATGAGGTTCATTCAGCAAACATTCGATGCTGAATGGCCTACCAAGTGTTGCCCCAGCCTACCAAGAATGCTGAAGGAGATGGAACTCCACAGTGAACTTTACAGCTCATCGAAACAGAAGAGGGTGTGCCACACGGGGGCTCTGGTCAGTTCTGCGGGTGACTTTAAGTAATTGTCTTGCCTTTTCTGTGTCCAGCTTTGTCCTGCCAGGAAGTCACTGAGGATGAGGTCTTAGATGCAAGCTGCTTGCTGGATGTCTTAAGAATGTACAGGTGGCAGATCTCATCCTTTGAAGAACAGGTGAGCCCAGCAGGCAGCAGGTTGAACTTGGAGAATCCTTTCCTGCCATGACTGGGATCTAGACCTTATGACTGTCTGGCCCGAGCATACATTTCTATAACATTTTTGGGCCTGTGTGCCAGCTCTGAGCCCAGGTCTAGAACGTGGTAGGCAGGTGCTCTGCCATCGAGCGACGTCCCCAGCTTTCAGCATCAAGTGCTCTGGAACCAGAGCATCGACTTCTGACTTCCTGTCATGGAGGAGGTCACACAGCGGTGAGTCGCCCAGTGGCTGGGGCATACACAGCAAAGGTCTTTTCAGATCTTGGCTGACTTGTCATTCAGAGGCTCTTAGAGATCCCCGGGTCCTTTAGAAATAGGCAAGGACTTCATCCTAGAGAGCCTAGAGGTTTGGGTGACATTGTTTTTTCCCCCTGCTGGTACTAGATAACAGGAAAATGTTTAAGGGTAGAGTCAGATCACTGCTGGCCTTTGATCCAGTGTAGTTTAAATGATCACTATGTGGGACAAGGCCACGCTTGAGGTTGAGTTCTGAAAGCTTGGGAAGCAGCGGGAGAGCAGAAGCATGGCTGAGGCCGAGGGAGAGCTGCGTGCACAGCTGAGGCCGAGGGAGAGCAGCGGGCATGGCTAAGGCTGAGGGAGAGCAGCAGGAGAGCAGCAGGCAGGTCTGAGGCTTTTTTTGGCGAGCCTCATCTGAGTTGGTCCTTACAGAGGTGTCTCCTTGTCACATGGTCCAGCAATCCCACTTCTGGGTGTGTGGACACCAAAGGACTGAAACAGGTAATTGTCCTGAGCAGGACCATTCACAAAAGCCATAGCAGTGTCCATCAATGCACCAATAGATCAACAGTGGTGTTGCTGTTGGGGCTAGAACTGCCGCTCAGCTGAGCTACACTGCCAGCACAGGCTCTTCTAGAATTCCATGTCATACAGCCTTTAAGAAAGAAGAAAGGGTGGGGACTAAGAAGGTGGCTCAGTGGTAGAGTGCTTGCCTAGCATGCATGAAGCCCTGGTCAGTCCCCCAGTACCACATACACAGAAAAAGCCAAAAGTGGGTGATGGTGATAGAATGGAGGTAAGACCTCTCAGCCAGATGCTTAAAAAGACTGAGCAGGTGGCCTTGCTGTTGATGTGCTTTGCCACGGTTTTGAGGGGCAGTGTTCCTTTGGAGTGGGGTGAGTGGAGGGTGTAAAGGTCAGCGCCATCTCAGTAAAGCTGACACAGGCTCAGTCTGTGGCGTGAGGCAGCCCCTCATCCTTCATGGGGTGAGGACGGAGGTGTCTTGTGCAAGTGTCTTACTCAATGAGGAACACAAATCCTGCCCTGGTTAACTGTCAGGGCTCTGCCTCAGAGGGCGAGGGAGTCCTCTCTGCGCCTCCCATTCACAGGATGCTCACGAGTTATTCCACGTCATCACCTCTTCACTGGAAGATGAGCGAGACCGCCAGCCACGGGTCACACATTTGTTTGATGTCCACTCCCTGGAGGTAAACCATTCATATTTCTAGCACACCAGTCCATGCGTGAATGTGTGTATGCGTGTGTGTGTGTGTGTGTGTGTGTGTGTGTGTGTGTGTGTGTGTGTGTGTGGTGAGTGCAGGCAGCACAGGTGTCCCCTCGTACGGTTCTTAACCACAAGTGTGAGGTTCACCAGAAATCCAGAGGGGAAATGAAGCTGCGTGGTTGTATATGGCATACCTGGCCGGCGATGTTAGCTCTTAAGTGTGACTCTCAGCTACGTTTATATTGGCTTTGACAGAACCAGTGTTTTCCTTTCTCCTGCTTACCATAGGGTGTAGAATTGCCGAGTTAGTCCTCTCCTCCTGGGACAATCCCATATTCAAGGAGTTGATAACAGCTAACCAGAAAGGGAGGAGAGAGAGCGGAGACAGGAGGCAGTTTGATTAAATTCCAGAAAGGAATACACATACTAGCTGGAGAGGACACATAAGGCTACTTTGAGGAATTCAGACTTTGTTGGAAGTTGATTTTGAGGGATGCCGTCAGCCTAGGAGCTCAGAGGTTTTGGGTGGTGAAGGTGGGAGAAAGGAGAGCAGCAGTTTTCAGTCTGTCTCTCTTTATTCCTGCAGCAATCAGAAGGAATTCCAAAACAAATAACCTGCCGCACAAGAGGTACTTGCTTGGGTACTTTTTACATATGTCAATAATTTGCTTGTTTTAAGAAGATCTTGCCTGGCACTGGTGGCTCAGGCCTGTAGTCCTGGCAGCTCAGGAGGCTGAGATATGAGGATCACAGTTCAGAGCCAACCCGGATAGGAAAGTCTGTGACAGACAGTTATCTCCAATTAACCACCAGAAAACTGGAAGTGGCACTGTGGCTCTTAAGTGGTAGTGCACTAGCCAAAGCTCAAGGCTAGCGCCCAGGCCCTGAGTTTCAGCCCCATGACCACTACCACCACCAACAAAAAAAGGTCTTGGTTTGGAGGTGTGTGCTTTGTTAATTGTTTTGTTCTGCTTTTTGGAGAGACTCTAACTAGCTTAAACTGTGATGTTCCTGCAAAGGAGCTTGTGTTTTTGCAAACACCTGCCAATGGCTTTGTCCATGTTCCTGCCACCCAGCCCTGCCCAGGTTTCTCTGCTTAGACTTCCATGTACTGCAGACGAGGATTTTCTTTCCACCTCCTTGGGTTTCGCCACCCAGAAGGAACTGTATGGGCTGAGTCAGCCTTGTCCTCAGCATTTCCACCTTGACCCGCTTTTATTGCCAATCACAGCTCTCACGGGGCACAAGAACCTGAAGCCTTAGTACAGTACAATTTGGCACCTGGTCCCTTTGAGCAATAGTAGTAATAAGGAAGAGTTTGAGAGGCCATACTGGGTGCCAGGCATTGCATGGAAGCCTCACCATCCTCGGTGACATGGGCACTGTGGGGTACTGGACCCAGCGCTGCCCTGCTCTGGAGGAAGCAGACAATCCCAGTTCTTCAGACCTTGTTTCAGAGGCTTAGCTCCCTGGCCAGCAGGTTCCCTCATGGCACCCTCCATGGGGCGCCTCCCATTCTACCGAAGCCATGTGCAAGTCCTGGAATTCTCCCACGAGGGAGCGGGAGTCTGGGGGTCGCCGGTGAGAGCTCCTCCAGCGTGCTTTGTCTAAGGATGAAGACCTACTAAATCCTGGAAAGGAGGCTTAGCTTTTGAGGTCGGGGCGAAACATCTAAACATGGCATCTTACGAGCACTTTGCCTTCCAGGGTCCCCTCAGCCCACGTCCAGTCACTGGAAATCCCAGCATCCTTTTCACGGTAGACTCACTAGCAACATGGTCTGCAAACACTGTGAGCACCAGGTAAGAGCACCCCAGCCAGGCCGCCTGCGCTTTGTGAGTCAGGACTCGGGGCAGGACTTGCGAGTGCATGCTGACCTCCGTGATGGCCCGGGCCCGCATACCTGGTGGACTGCCTGCCCCTTTGGTCAGTGCCGTCATGTCCCGGGCACCTGAGAGCGCCCTTTCAGCCCAGGAGCAAGGGGCAGGCTTTTGAGTTAAAGGTTGAGTTTATACTCAACCTAGGGACTGGGATTTTTTAAATATGTATTTGATGTTTTTAAATAATTTTTTTTTTTTTTTGGTTCGGGGGCTGGTGGCTCATGCTTGTCATCCTAGCTACTCAGGAGACTGAGATCCAAAGGATCTCTCTTCAAGGCCAGCCTAGATAGAAAAGTTCATGAGATTCCATCACCAACTAATCCACAAAAATGTAGGTAACCAGGCTAGAGGTATGGCTCAAATGGTAGAATGCCAGCTGTGAGACAGCATGAGCTCCTCAGTTGTAGCCCTAGTACCAGCAAAAATAAAGCAATTAAAAAATGTGGGCTGGAAATGTAGCTTAGTGGTAGAGTGTTGAAGCTCTGGGTTCAATTCCACAGTACCATATAAACAGAAAAAGCCAGAAGTGGCACTGTGGCTCAAGTGGTAGAGTGCTAGACTTGAGCAAAAGAAGCTCAGGGACAGAGTCCAGGTCCTGAGTTCAAGCCCCAGGATTGGTAAAAAAAAAAAAAAAAAATTGTGTGTGTGTGTGTGCATGTATATGCACATGCATGTTCACCAATCTTGGGGCTTAAACTTAAGGCTTGGATGCTAGCCCTGAATTTTTCTGCTGTGACCACTTGAGCCATAGCTCCACTTCTGGCTTTTGGTGGTTAATAGGAGTCTCATGGACTTTTCTGCCTGGTCTGGATTCAACCATGATCCTTTGGCTTTGAACCATGATCCTCGGCTCTCATCCTTATGAACAACTAGAATTACAGGTGTGAGCCACCAGCACCTGGCTCTTTAACATTTTTGAGATAAGATCCTGCTATGTAGACTGGTCTGGCCTGAACTCAAAATCCTGCCTCAGCCTCCTTAAGTAAGTGCTGGGTTATAGATGTGCAGCATCACACTGCTAAAATAATGTACTATGGAAAAATTTTAACGTAACACAAATAATGTTACAGAAATTTTGGAATGTCACTTGAATCAATTTTAGAACATGTTCCCCCCGGCTCTCCACAAGCAGCAAACCCCCACGTACTTCTGCCATATCCCTATGCTCCGGGCAGACACTCTTGTGCTTAGACCTCAGTGGACTTTCCTGACCTGGACCTTTCCTATAGTGGAATCCTACTGCATGCAGCCTTTTGTGTTGGCTTCTCTGGATTAGTGTAAGGTTTTCTGGTTCCTGTATGTGGCAGCCTGCACGGCTCTTCACTCTGTATAGAAGCAGTGACAGCAGAAGGTGACCCAGGGGTAATATTAAATATTAATATTAAATGTTAATATTAAATATTGCTCATCATCTAAGGAAAACATCAACACTGTTTCCACTTTGATACAAGGTTGTTTTTTGTTGTTATTGTTTTGGTTGGTTTTTGTGTCAGTCCTGGGGCTTGAACTCAAAGCCTGTGCACTGTCCCTGAGAGTTTTTTTTTTTTGTCATCGGTCATGGGGCCTGAACTCTGGGCCTGGGCTCTGTAGACCCTCAGCTCTTCGGCTCAAAGCTAACACTCTATCACTTGAGCCACAGTGCCACTTCCAGCTTTTTTTGCTTATGTGGTACTGAGGAATCGAACCCAGGGCCTCATGTAGGCAAGGCAAGCACTCTATCACCGAGCCACCTTCCCAGCCCTCCCCGACTTCTTTTGCTCAAGGCTAGAGATGTACCACTTTGAGCCACAGCACCACTTCCAGTTTTCTGATGGTTAATTGGAGATAAGAGTCTCAGGGATTTTTCTTGTCTGTGTTAGCTTTGAACCATGATCCTCAGATCTCAGCCTCCTGAGCAGCTAGGATTACAGCTTTGAGCCACCAGCACTTAGCTTCATCATAGCTTTTTTCTCTTCTTTATTGAGGTATAAGTGACTGACAGAAGATGCATATATTTAAGGTGTGCAGAGTAATGATTTAATGTATGCTTATGTATGCATACATATGCAAATGAACACACCCATCTCCTCACGAGGTCTCCTTTGGGGCTGGTGCATCTCTTGTAGTTCACTCTCCTTTGTTCCTAGACTTTGGTCATTTCATGGACCCACCTTCAATTTCACGGCTCTTTTTCTGTCTCCAATCTCCTTTTAGTGACTATGCTTTTATGAAGTTTCTGTTATTTATTGGTGGTGCTGAGGTTTAAACTCAGGCCCTTGTGCCTCAGTGCCAACCTTTTCACTTTAGTTAAAGTTGTAATAGGGTCTCACTTTTATACCCAAATCAGCCTGGACAGCGGTCCTCCTATTTTTGCTTCCTGTGTTCCTGGAGTCACAAATACATGCGGTCCTGCCCAGCCTTTATGAGTTCAAATGGGATGTCCTGTATTTTTTGCCAAAGTCTGGCCTTAAACCATGATCCTCATGATCTCCATCTCCCAAGTCCATTTCTTTCTATTTTTTATTTTTTCTTTCTTTTTAATAATTTCTCTGCTGAGATTCTCCATTTGTCCATGTACTGTGTAGTTTATGTTTCCCTTCCGTCCTTGCTTGAGCAGATCCCGTGTAGTCTCTTACCTCCTGGTCCTTCACCATGTGCCACACTGGATTTCTCTGAAGGAAAATGGGCGTTGTGCTGGAAGCCAGTTAACTTGCCTGGGCTCAAATTCCAAACCCTATCTCCCCTTTCTTGGACAGCAGAATAGTCCGTTCAGTTGTACCTTCCATCTGCTACCTTACAGCCCTCCACGGAGTCTTCCCTGAGCATGCGCAGTCCTGTTGTCAGCCCTGAAGCTGGACAGTCTAAACAGATTTGGGAGCTCGTCCTCCCACCCCCCTCTCTTGTTACCTTGGAGATTGCCTTGAGTCTCTACTAGCCCTCGACTCTCAGTTCTAGCAACTCAGTCCTGTGCAAGGGCTGCTTTAGGCCACCCGTCTTTGTGTAGAGTGGGCAGAAATGCCAGGCAAGTCTTACCCATGGAGTCCCCGGGTTTTGGTTTTGTTTTCATCTGAATTGACTTCAATTTTTACCTGCTTTTGGCAGCTCTAGTCATTCAAATAGTTTTGTTTAGTTTCAGACCTCGAAATAGGGGAAACCTAAACTGCTTTTCCATTACCAAAAGCAACAATGCTGACTGTATTTTTTTCATCTGCATTTTGGTAATTAGTGATACAACATGAACATATTGACACATAATCAGCTTCCTACTATATTAACTTGATTATCCTAGTTCAGTCTGTGGGCATGCTATAATGTAGTTTATCATTCATTCTCAAGGTGTTTCAGCTCTTCAGAATAATGCTATGAAGATGACGTCTTTGTAGTTTTGTTTCTGATTATATCCACAGGATCAAAACTCCAATCCTGCTCATCAGGATTTTCTTCATAACTCTAAGTTCCCAAAGTTGTTTGGCTAGAATTTGCTTCTAACTACCTTATGTCATATTGTTTGTTTGTTTTGATGTTGTTTTTGCCCCTCCTGGAGCTTGAACTCAGGGCCCGGGCACTGTCCTTGAGCTTCTTTTGCTCAAGGCTAGCACTCTACCACTTGAGCCACAGCACCACTTCTGGCTTTTTCTGTTTATGTGGTACTGAGAAATCAAACCTAGGGCTTCATGCATGCTAGGCGAGCACTCTACCACTAAGCCACCTTCCCAGCCCCTTACATTTTACTGTTAATTCTCGTGGACACATCTTCCATATGTTGCATTGAATATAAGTGCTTTCTGGACTTTGTCTTTCAGAGTCCTGTTCGCTTTGACACCTTTGATAGCCTTTCACTGAGCATTCCAGCTGCCACCTGGGTACGTACTGACCTTGGGCTTATTTTAGAGTCTACTGTGAACACAGAGCAGTCTGAGAGAACCTGGAAGCATTTTGTGTGCCCCAGGGACTGGGTCTTTCAGACAGTGGTTGGGGCCCTGTCTTACCTATCATCTGTGGCACCATGCCTGATTACGGGTGGGTCATTTTTCTCTTATTGCACACGTTTTTCAACACATGCACATAACACATTCTCAAGCTCAAACCCAGTGTAAAAGTCCACGATGGTTTTCGACGTGGAGCCTTTGAACCTGGAGCCTGTCAGTAGTGGCAGCGTGGGTGCCTTTGTGGTATGTGGTGCCCCCTGCCCTGGCTGACGCTGTCCAGGCAGCTGTCCCTGCGTTGTTCGGATTTTCTTTTTCCCTCTTCTCTTACAGGGCCATCCGCTGACCCTGGACCACTGCCTTCACCACTTCATCTCCTCCGAGTCCGTGCGCGATGTTGTGTGCGACAACTGCACAAAGGTGCGTCCCCTCGCTGATCTGCGCTCTGTGGCACCGCCCATATTACCGGCTCAGCCACCGCCATCCCCCCCCCGGCGTGGCTGGGCAAGAGGCTATCTGAGGAGTCTTGCTTCCCAGGCTTCCACGTGCAGCCTGGAGTTGAGATCCGCCCTCTCCAATCTGCTCCAGTCCCCACCATTCCCATTTCTCTCACCTCCTGCTTCCCCCTCCGTAACTGACACTCATCTCTCAATCGAGAGGAACCACGAGGACAGAATTTTTTTTATTTTTTTGTCAGTCTTGGAGCTTGAACTCTGTGCCTGGGCGCTGGCCCTCAGTTCCTCAGCTCAAGGCAAACGCTCTACCACTGGAGCCACAGTGCCACTTCCAGTTTTCTGGTGGTTCATTGGAGATAAGAGTCTCACAGACTTTCCTGCCCGGGCTGGCTTTGAACCGTAAACCTCAGATCTCAGCCTCCTGAGTAGCTAGGATGACAGGCGTGAGCCACCAGCACCCAGCAAGACAGAATTTTTGAAGACAGAAAACAAAATAGATTACACGCTGGTAGAGTTCCAGTGTTGATTTTGCTGTCTCCTCCCTCCATGATGACTGTTATTTGACAACCAGGGAGAATCAGTGAGAACAGCTCACAAACAAGGGGTTGGTTTCAGCAGGTAGAGTTGGCTTTAGTAGGTAATGGCTGAGTGCCAGTCAAATGCAGGTGTAACCTCAGCCAGCTCCGGCAACGCCCCTAGACGCCCTGCTCCAGGGATTCTTGTGGAGAAATGCTGTTGCTTGTATTTCAGATCGAAGCAAAAGGAACCTTGAATGGGGAAAAGGTGGAACACCAGAGGACCACATTTGTTAAACAGTTAAAACTAGGGAAGGTGAGCTGGGCCCCCCCCCCCACTCTTGATGGGCCTGTCGAGGGACTGCTGCCTGTTCTCAGCTCTTTTTGTTCCTCCCTCACCCGCAGCTCCCCCAGTGCCTGTGCATCCATCTGCAGCGGCTCAGCTGGTCCAGCCACGGCACGCCCCTCAAGCGCCATGAGCACGTGCAGTTCAATGAGTTCCTGATGATGGACATCTACAAGTACCGCCTCCTGGGCCACAAACCCAGTCTGCACAGCCCCAAACCCAAGGAGAACCCAGGGCCTGCGTTGGAACTGCAGGATGGGCTGGCAGCCCCCAAGCCAGGTGCTGCCCTCTGGCTGGCTGATGCCTCAGCAGAGAGCAGGCGTCTGGCACAGACAAACCTGGGTCTTTATGCCACGAGCAATGTATCGCCTGGAGTTCAGGAAGGCTACTTGAAGTGGCAGCTTGAATTCTTGAGAAGGGCAGGTTTAGTGGTGTATGAGGGTTTTACTCTTTTTACTATAGAGCTGCCTCCCCAAATATGATTTCTTTTTTTTTTTTTGGTGCCAGCCCTAGGGCTTGAACTCAGGACCTGGGTGCCGTCCCTGAGCTGCTGCTTCCTCTTTCTCCTCCTCCTCTCTCCTTCCCCCTCCTCTCTCCTTCCCCCTCCTCTTCTTCCTCTTCCTCCTCCTCTTCCTTCTCCTCTTCTCTTCTCCCTCCTCCTAATTCTTGTTTTTTTTTTTGGTCGGTCATGGGGCTTGAACTCTGGGCTTGGGTGCTGTCTCCACGTTCTTCAGCTCAAGGTTAGCGTTCTACCACTTAAGCCAGAGCGCCACTTCCAGTTTTCTGCCCAGGCTAGCTTTGAACTGTGGGCCTCAGATCTCAGGCTCCTGAGTTGCTAGGATTACAGCTGTGAACCACTGGTGTCAGTTTAACAATGATTTCTTGAAAAGGTTAAAATTATATAGTCATGAGAGACGTATTTTAAAAACTGCAGTATAGATGGAACACTGTATGGAGAAAAGCAAAAATTGCTTCACATCATTCCAGGGAACTTTTTTCTTTCTCTCAAGACCATCATCCCACTTATAGAAGAAATATGGGGAGGAAAGGGCCTGGCTAATGACCACTGAACATTTTACTGAGTTGACATGGCTTTATTGGTTGTGTGTGTGTGTGCGCGCGCGCGTGCTGGTACCCTGACTTGAACTCAGGCTTTAGCATTCTTACTCTGCTTGCTTGCACTCTTGAACTGAGCCTCCAGTCTGGCTTTTTGCTGGTTAATTGGAGATGGAGTCTTGGAGATATTTTTGCCCAGGTTGGTTTCAAACCTGGATCCTCTGATTTGAACCTCCTGAGTCACTGAGATTACAGGTGTGAGCCACCAGCACCTGACTTTGAAATGGCTTCTTTACTGAATCACTGCTCTGTCCCATTCTGTTGCCACCCTCACCTGGGTTTCGCTGGTAAGTGGGGTCTCAGTCCTGTCCTCCCTCTGTCTACTGATGAGAAATTGATTTCCACACAGGGAACAAGCAAGACTTGACAAATGGAAGATCTGGCCTAGATTGTGATGTTTTAAAGCTAGTGTATGCTACACACTGCCCTTCAGAACTATAGATGAGGAAAGCCTGCTGCCTTGCAGGGAGCGTCAGGACTGTCTTCCTGCGCCCGCTCCTTTGCTGACACGGCGTTCCTGGCCCCTTGTGGTGTCATGCCCCCCCAAGTGCGTGGCCTGGCCAGACAGCTTTTCAGGGAGACTTCATTTGCTCTTTCTCATCACATCCTTAGGTTACTGTGGGGACAGCTGAGGTGGGCAGGCATGGGATGAGGAGGGGAGTTAGCCCTTGGCTCTTATTTTAAACCAAAGACCCTTTCACCATAATTTCCTCCTCTCCCAGGCTTGGGTACAGATCTGCTGATGGTCAGAACTCAGTGGCTGTGGGCAAAGTTAGTCACAGTAATTACTTGGTTTATGAGGCCCCAGGTGTGAAAACGGAAAGGAAGACTACATGGATGTCACCTTAATTTTTAAAATATTTTTCTTATGATGTGGGGCCTTGGCCAGGCTAGCCAAATGCTCTACCACAAAGCTATGTCTCCAACCTGTGGTTTTTAGGTTTCTCACTGTGTAACTTAAGATGGCCTGGAGCTCATTGTGTAGCCCAAGATCTCAATGATCTTCCTGCTTTTATCTTCCTGAGTGCTGGGATTACAGGCATGCACCACCATGCTTGGCTTGCCTTTTGTTTTGTCTACAGTCCTAAAGGTTTGCTTGCTGTTAACATTACTATTCCTTAGAAAGATGACAGAATTCCAGAGATGGCAGTGCTTCTTGGCTTGGAGCAGTGAAGAGTGCTGGGAATGTTCAGTGTTGGTTGTCTCCTGGGAAAGTAGTGCTACTTGGCATGCATGGGGGATGCAGATACTCTCTAGGGGTGCTGCAGGACACTCTAGATACACAGTCCCCCCCGTGAAGCCAGTTAAGGGGCTGCTTGCCCCTGCTGAGTCGCTGGCCAGCAAGTGTCTGGGGGCACAGTGGGGATGTCAGAGTGGCAGCAGGGAGGGGGGCCCCATGCTTTTCTCCTGTTTGCAATGAAAATAGTTGGGACAAAAAGGGAATTTTGGCAACCAACTTACTCCAAAATGTAGTCTTTTCTCTACAGCCTTATAGAGAGATCATTTTCAAGGAAATCATGAGACTATTTTTTTTTGGGGGGGGGGGGATCCGGTCATGGGCCTGAACTCTGGGCCTGGGCGCTGTCCCTCAGCTCTTCAGCTCAAGGCTAGCGCTCTACCACTTGAGCCACAGCGCCACTTCCGGCTTTTTTCTTTTTGCTTATGTGGTGCTGAGGAATTGAACCCAGGAGCTCAGGCATGCAAGGCAAGTGCTCTACCACTGAGCACCTTCCCAGCCCGTCATTTTTAAGGAAATCAAAACCATGTGTTTGGCTGGGCACTGAGGGCTTACACCTGTAGCTACTCAGGAGGCTGAGATCTGAGGATTGTGAGTCGCCTTCCCAGGAGACTCTGACTTCCAGTTACCCACCAAAAAAGCTGGAAGTGGGGCTGTGGCTCAAGTGGCAAAGCCTTAGCCTGGAGCAAAAAACTCAGAGACAGCACCCAGACCCCGAGTTCAAGCTCCAGGCCTGGCACAAAAGAAACCACACAAAAACCCCATGTGTTTGTTCCCCCAGAGCCACTGCTAATTTTCACTGATTCAGGTCTTTTTCTCTTGCAGTTCTGAATCAGCCAGGGGCTGCCAAAACCCAGATTTTTATGAATGGCGCCTGTTCCCCGTCTTTATTGCCAGCCCTGCCACCCCCAGTGCCCTTCCCTCTCCCGGTGGTTCCTGATTACAGGTGAGCCAGGCAGTCAGGACGCTGCCTGCAAGCAGCTTTTCACCAAAGCACACCAACGAAAATGTAGACAGTTATTTATGACATGTTGCCCAAGATGAAGGTAACTTGAACAATAAGAATTAGCAAAAATCTACTGACATGCATGTATACGCGTGCGTACGTATACAATACAAAGAAATGTTTGTTCTTTGGGATACCACTTAAGCAATCACATCTTCAGCCATCTCCTGGGTAACAGTGTGTGTACAGATACACCCCATGCACGCACACACATGCCGTACTACACACAGACGCTCGTGGAAGGGCGGGATGTGGTTGTGTCGCTCGCTGGTCCCTGTGGTGTGCCGTGTGGGATGGGTTCATTTTGTCTGCAAGGCCTTGTGCTCACCAACCCCTGGCATTTGTTCCCGCCCTTCAGCTCCTCCACTTACCTCTTCCGGCTGATGGCGGTCGTCGTCCACCATGGAGACATGCACTCTGGACACTTTGTCACCTACCGCCGGTCTCCACCTTCAGCCAAGAATCCGCTTTCCACCAGCAACCAATGGCTGTGGATTTCCGACGACACTGTCCGCAAGGCCAGCCTGCAGGAGGTCCTGTCCTCCAGCGCCTACCTGCTGTTCTACGAGCGCGTCCTATCCCGGATGCAACAGCAGGGGCAGGAGTTCAGGTCTGAGGAGTGACGTCCCCAGCCCTGAGCCAGGGCCTAGGGCACGGTCCACACTGTGCAGGACAAAAGTAAAGGCGTGCCGTGTGTGGCCACGCGCACGCTCGTGTGTGTGTGTGTGCACCCGGCCCCTCTTAGACCTTCAGCTTTCTGTGTGTTGGAAGGGCAGTGCCACGTGGGAGCCAGCCCCGAGCAGCTCCACCCGGGCACACTGAGAGTGTCCCTGGGTTAGGACAGCGTGCCTGCCTGCGTGCGTGCGTACAGCGTGTCTTTTACTCATCCGATACAGGTAAATGAAGAACCTGGATTCTGGAAGCCACCTTTTCTATATTGTAACCTGCAGGTGTCCACAGAGAAAGAGTTGCCTCTGTGTCACCCCTGGCCGTCAGCATAGATCCCGTATTTTTAATAAGTAGACCCATACAAATTGTTGACAAGAAATAGCAAAATTATTAAAGGCAACCATTTAGAAGAAAAAGTGCCTTCCACTTTCGATTGCTTCTGCAGCCTGTCCCTTGTGAGTAGACATGTCCTCTAGGCACCCATGTGCCTCAAGAGGTGTCTGGGGCACCCCGCCCCAGCCTCCCCCTCCCCCCAGCTTTTCCATGCTGCAGCTGCATTCATAGCTGGGACTCATCTGCAGATTGGCCCCCGGAGCCAGCGGGGCATTGTTCACTGTGTTGGCAGTTCATTGGGAGATGCTTATGTGCTGGCTTTTTCCCCTTCATACACTGGGCTGGGAGACTGGATGGTAATTTATTATAAAACTTATGTTAGCCAGCCTCACGCAGTGTCTCAGCGTCTGTGTAACACCTACAACTACACGTGGCAAAATTAAGCAGCAGTAGTTAAATCTTCAGCCATGGCCCTTGTGGAGCTCTGAGGCTCTAGAAAAGGAGCCGGGGCAGCTGGAGAGCTGATTGAGAAGGAAGGGTGCTGTCAGGCCTCAGTCTCTCTCTGGACCTGTTTCCTCATCTGTAAAGCAAAGGGTGTTTTAAAGGCCCATAAAATGTCAGTTGACCCCTAGTGCTGCCATTTGGTTCTGGGTCCTTATTCTAAATGCATCCCTCAGTTCCAGTGTCCTGACACAGAGAGAGTATATGGAGCTGCTTCTTCCCTTTTCAGACAAGCCTCAGGAATGCAGCCCGGGGAAGAAGGAACGTTGATACAGTAGTACCTACGTCTTAGACGGGTCATTTTATAAAGGTACCCGGTTCAGGCAGACTCTCCAGAGCTGTGGAACCAGGCCACCCGCAGGCCCCAAGGCCCCACTGAGCTGGCCGGCACTTCCACACGAGCCTTGGCATATCAGCTCAAAGCGCAGGCAGGCCAGGGCATCCTGCAGGCCCATGGGCAGCCTGAGGACTTGATGGCACTCTGCCATGACAGGTCACCGTGAAGGCTTACCGGGCCTGGACATGTGTGAGAGCAGGTTGGACCGCCTGATGTGTCCACAGCCGGCCCTGCACACCTGGGCTTTGATGTGGGAGTGAACACACCTGTGTCACGTGACACTGAGTGGCCTCAGGTGGCCCTGCAAAGTGTAACTGAGCGTGAGGGCTATCCCATCCCTGCTCCTCAGGCCTGGGGGCCGGGGGGGGGTAGTGTGGGGGCACAAGCCTGGGCTGTCGGCCGGGAGCAGGCCTTCCCTCAGAGGCCGGCTGAGGGCCGGCATTGTAAATGTGAGTGATAATCTGCCTGAAAGCTAACTTCCTCATTTTTGTAAATTAGTAGGCATTAGCCACCAAATAATCTGTTTTCTAATTTTTATTCATAAAGTACATAGTTACTTCTTTCTGGAAAAAACCTAAGTTGAGCTAGTAGTTTGTGCCATGGTGACTGCTGATTTATGTATTTGCTAAAGGTACTTTTGTATCTGCTGTGTATTATAGCAATAAAAAAAAATCATTTTGTTAGGGGAAAAAGAAGCCAACTGCCATTCTTTCATAATTTGTGGGTTTGATTTAAACACCATCTTTCAGCACTGCACATTGTTGTATAACAGAACAAGTCCTAAAATGTCATCAAGCTGGGAGCTGGCAGCTCACGCCTGTAATCCTAGATACTCAGGAGGCTGAGTTCTGAGGATCATGGTTCCAAAGCAGCCAGGGCAGAAGAGTGTGAGACTGTTATCTCCAATTAACCAAATGGAAGTGGAGCTGTGGCTCCAGATGGTAGAGGGCTAGCCTTGAGCACAAAAGTTCAGGGACAGCACCCAGGCTCTGAGTTCAAGCCCCAGGACTGGCCCAAAAAAAATAAAAGTCACCAAGCTGCCTCTGTGCTTCAGGCTCACTCAGAATAGACAGAGAAGGAGGAGACAGTCATGCTAACTGTTACAAACATCTCTCATTTCTTAGGCAGAATTTTACGAAATGTCAAGTTGACCCGTGGAGCCAGAACCTTCTTGCGGACGGGGAGACTGTGGTACCAGTGAGTGTTGGTCGGGTGGTTCATCATGAGCAAGCTCCCGTGGGCCAGCTGCAGCCTGACTGTGTCCCCCAGCCGGCCACCAGGCTTCCCTCGGGAGGCCTTGTGCCGGAAGAAGAAATCCCGGCAGGCACCGAAGGACACGGAGGCAATGGGGGTCCTGGGGGCCAGTTCCCTCTCATCGTCTCGGTGCTCTCCAATGTGATCACAGCCGTCTTTATACCTGTGATGGGAAACAAGGACAGCATAGAAGAAGAGCTTCTCCCCCTGCTGCAGGAAGCAGTGTGCCGAAGGCTGCCCCCGCCATGTTTCTGGCAGGGCCCTCAGGTCAGCCTCGCCTCTGACCCAGGCCCACCTGTCCTGCGCGCAGGCTCACAACCACGTCTCCTAGTCCCCAGCTCTTGCATGTAAGCCTGCCATATAAAACGATCGCTCCCTACACATAGAATAAAACCCCCATTCTCGGCCGTCTGGCCCTGCCTATCTCCAAGTACGCTCTGTACCCCACTCCTCCCTCTCTCTTTTCAGCCACACCCCAGAGACCCCTGTTCTCCAGATGCCTGTGGGCTTTGGGGTCTCCACTTAGTTCCCAGGTCAAAGGTCACAGCCTCAGGGAACGTCCTGTAGAGCGACCTTGTCTCAGCCTAGGCTTTGTAGCCAGGGAGATGCCAGGAGATGCCGGGCAGTGACCTGTGTGGAGGCGGGTGCTCCTGGCATCTACTGGGTGGAAGCCGAGCATGTGTCCCAAGCCCTACGAGGCACACGTTTCCCTTCTACAGCTCCAACTGTCACAAGTGCTTCTACTGAGCCACCTCACCCTAGCCCAGACCCCTTCCAGGAACCGCTGTCCAAACAACTTGAACCAAGTATGACAGGACCACAAACTTCCCTTTGGAGAAGACACATAGAGAAAAAACACAGGCCACGCGTCAGGGCAAGGGGTCACCTGTTGACGAGCACGAAGTTGAAGGTCTGTCCTGTCACGTCAGAGACTCGATCCCGGATGCGTTCCAGAACTGGAAGCCAGGGCTTTGGAGACAGCGTAAGGCCTGAAAACGTGTAGGTCAGCCCAGCGTCACCATAGGTCGCCTGCTTCCTCGGCACATCATGCCATTTCCCAAACACCTGCACCCTTGCCAGCGCACCTGTGCAGATGGAACATGGCAGTTCACTCATCCCATAAAGCCCTTGAGATGCAGACGAGAGTGTGACACGCTGGCTCCCCAGGGTGTACACTGCCTGCTGTTGACCCCATCTCAAGCATCACTGTGACTTGCCCCAAATTTTCATGGGAGCTTAGTGAATCTTGCTGAGTGTGGTAGTGCATGCCTATAACCCCAGCTTGAGGAAGCAAGAGTTGGACTCTTGCCTGGGCTACAAAGACTCAGTCTCAAAAAGAAAAATGTGGGCTGGGACTGTGGCTTAGCAGTAGAGTGCTTGCCTTGCATACATGAAGCCCTGGGTTCAAGTCTTCAGTACCACATAAACAGAAAAGGCCAGAAGTAGCGATGTGGCTCAAGTGATAGAGTGCTAGCCTTGAGCACAGAGAGGCTCTGAGTTCAGGACCAGCCGAAAAAAAAAAGAAGTGACTCTTGCCCTATACTTAAGAGAAACATGGGTCACTGTTTCCTGAACACTCTTCCTGAACACTTTTCGAGGAAGGTTTCGTTTTGTCACCTGTGAGGTTACACAGCCCAGGCTGGGCGAGCAGGCTCTCAATGTGTGGTCCTGGGGCCCACAGCATCCGTGTCACTTGGAAACTAGAAACTAGGCTGTGGGAGTGGACCTGCATTCCAGCTCTGCCGGAGCAACAAGGTAACAAGGTCTCTCCCCCTTCCCCCGCCCCCCCCCCCCCCCCCCCCAGGCAGCATTGAGAACCACTCAGCGTTCAGATAAAGGAGTTACTGCTTGTATAGCATCGTCCTGCTCTAGGGCTTCTAGCCCTCACCTGCACCTGACAATCCCATGAAAACTTGTTTTATGCCTGGATGCACATGTGCATCAGGCAAGTGTTCCACCACTGAGTCACATGCCCAGACCTAGATTTTTCTTTTTTAATATTGAAATCCAGATGTGCACCTAACGATTCTGATTCCATTGGCCTTACACGGAACCCAGCCTGTTTTAACTTTCCTCAGTGACTTAGCAGCAACCAGGCAGATTTCCCCTGGTCTTCTATTGTCTACCAGTAGACAGACAATCCTGCTTTTCTTCTGTTCCCTTCCATCCCCCATTTATAGCCCAAGCCCTTCACCAAATCCATCAGGAATTCATAAATCCTCTGAGTTCAGATTTTCCAAACATAAGATCAACACAGCCTTCCCCTTACCAGTAAAATACTCCACGTCTTGCTCCAACTCGCGGAAAATCTTGTCCGCCTCTGCTTTGCCAAACAGGATGGTGTAATCACAGTTCAGACCCTCCCCACGAATCTGCCTCCAGCTCAGGCCTGCCTGGTGGCTGGTGTCCCCCGGGGGCTCTCTCCTGGGCCTCTTCTCTGCCATTCCTCCATCTTCTCCTGCCTCTACTCTGGTGGGCTTTTGCTTGCCTGTTTTTCCCAAAAGGACCCCCGGGGCTGGCTTCTGTAGGAATCTGTCCATCTCGATCCCTCCACAGGAAAGGCCGGGAGGTCCGTGGTGAGGCAGGGACCAAGTGCCTTCGTGCCCCAGCTCCGTCCCCAGTGGATCACTGCGACCATCATGTGGAGGAGGTGCCCATTTCACAGAGGCAACAGCCAGGGCCTAGGAAGGAAGCAGAGCTTTAGGTTCCCGGCATCTCCCACGCCTGGCTCTCACGATCTGCTGGCCCTTCAAGGCGCCAGAACTTAAAATGGCAAGACCTGCCTTTCTAACCCCAGAATCTGCAACACCACAGCCAAGTATGGAAACCCATCCAAACTAAACCAGGATGCCCCTGGGGGCGGGGGAGGTGCCCAAAGTCACCCCTAGAAGAGTGACTGTCCATCCCCTCTCTCCCCCCCCCCCCCCCGCCCCGCCCCGCAGGACCGAGGGAGTTCAGGGTCCGGGCATCGGCCCCGCAAATCCCCGAGCTGCTGCAGGAAAATCACCCGGCCCGGAGCTCCGCCCGCCAGTGGGTGGATTTCCGGCCGGCTGGGAAGCGCGGGTCCCTGGGTGGTCCCCAGCGCCGCCTGCAGGCCTGCCCGGGCATCGCAGGGCCCTGCTGTGGTCCTGCCTAGCGTCACGCATGCGCGGTGAAGCCCTAGAGGCTGCTCAATGCTCTTCAAAGAGATTTTGGGCTTAAGAGTGAGGACAGGGCGTAAGGACAACAGCATGTGGTCTCAAAGCGTCCTGTTGCCGGTGGGAGATCCATAAATGAGACCATCTGGCTCTCATTTCTTCCCCCCTCCACCCCAGTCTGGGAGAACCGCGATCTCTCCTCTGTCCCTATGGTTTGCTCCAAAATTTCAAATGAATGGGATTGTGTGTGTGTGTGTGTGTGTGTGTGTATACCTTTTCACGTCAGCCTTCTCCCAGTTACTATAAAATGTGTCTATATCTTGGGGTGGGAGGCTCTAGCCGAGTTCCATTACCCGGTTTATGTGACAGAGGAGACTCACAGGAACTGCCATCCAGCCAGATCTGATAAGCCTGAAACCAATTGCCTCAAGCACTCAGGGACAAGTGTCTACCAGAATCTTTCCGAGTCACCAGCAACTCCCTTACGATCCGGCACTTGCCTTAGGCAAGGCCTCTTGGAACTCTCTCCCCCAACCCCTGCTCTAACTTTTTCCTAGCCATTTTGTATCCTCTCTATTAAGTATTATGTGTGGGCCTGGGAAGGTGGCTCAGTGGTAGAGTGCTTGCCTTGCATGCATGAGGCCCTGGGTTCGATTCCTCAGTACCACATAAGCAGAAAAAAAAAGTATTATGTGTGATCTGAGAATTAATATTAGTGGGATAAAAGAACATACCAAGGCCAGGCACTAGTGGCTCATGCCTGTCATCCAGCTACTCAGGAGGCTGAGATATGAGGATCACAGTTCAAAGCCAGCCCAGGCAGATAAGTCCCTAAGACTCTTATCCTGAATTAATCACCAAAAAACCAGAAGTGGAGCTGTGGCTCAAAGTGGTAAAGCACTAGCCTTGGGCAAAAACTTGACCTTAGTAATACTTGGAAATTAAGCTAACAAAATGGACATACTTGTGAATTTGTTATTCACTAAATTCTAAAATTATGGAAGGACACAAGGGTGTCAGTCTAGGTATCCAACAGTTGCTCTCACCACACAGGATAAATGTAAGCAAACTTCATATACACACCTAACTATAAGGGTACTGTTCAACCACCAGCTGTTTTCCTTCCTACCCATTCCCTCCTTGTACACATCAGCAGGATAAAATTCCTGCCCTTGCCCTGGCTACATTTTGGAGATGGTGACAGAAATGAACAAGAGTAAATATGACATTATGGTTAACAGGGAAGCTATAAAGAGAGTGAGAGTTTGGAAGGTGGGGTAGACCTTTCTTAAAAAGTACTGAGTAATGCCGTAGCTTTCTAGACAGAGGACTGTGTGTGTGTGTGTGTGTAAGGCCTCAGGGAGACCTGCAAGGAACCAGATTAAGTATCAGGATTCACTTGGCATTGGAAGCAGTTTGGAAGTGATGGGAAGCTGGAAGTAAGATGTAATTTATGTTTCAAAAAGAATCCCTGGATAGGAAAGAGAACAGCTAAGGGATTGCAGGCAGGCTATGGGAACTGCTGCTGTGGAATTCAAGATTTGCTATAAGAAAGAGAAGAATCCCAGATGTGTACACTGGAGTCAAGGTGTGAGAAAAAAGCAGTCTTTTCTGTCAAACCAAAGTGCCTTCATCTTGTATATTGTTATTTTCTGAACTTCATTTTGCTTTTTTTCCCCTTTTAACTCAATTATAACTATTATCTGTCCTGTTTATGACCAGCTAGCCAAGTTAGGGAGGTGAATTTTTATCAAAAGAGTAAAAAAAATAAAACCAACTACCAGGTGTGCTGCTTGTTAGGAAGATACATCTTTATCAACAGAGTTAAAAGGAATTAAGTCCCCCTTTGGAGTGGGAGTTTTCCACTGACCTCATCAACCTCCTCCAACTGTACTGGTCAGCCATCATCAGCCCCGCCCCCAGCCAGCTGTGTGTGTGTGTGTGTGTGTGTGTGTGTGTAGTAAACTTTTGATAAGAATTAAAGAATAGCCCCCTTTCTAGCCTTGGTAATCAATCATACTTAGAATGTGAGCCTAACTTCAAGCCGGGCGCTGGTGGCTCACGCCTGTAATCCTAGCTACTCAGGAGGCTGAGATCTGAGGATCGCGGTTCAAAGCCAGCCCCAGCAAGAGAGACCGTGAGACTCCTATCTCCAATAAACCACCAGAAAACCGGAAGTGGTGCTGTAGCTTAAGTGGTAGAGCGCTCGCCTTGAGCTGAAGAGCTGAGGGGCAGTGCCCAGGCCCAGAGTTCAAGCTCCACGACCAACCAAAAAAAAAAAAAAAAAAGAATGTGAGCCTAACTCCTTGATAAGGAGGAGGAGTTAGGATCCATTACGACCATCCCAGAGGTCCACACTCCCAAAGTTCTATGCAGAGGGAAGGAGGGAGGCAGGCACAGGAGAAAGATTATAAGGTTTATTAGTGGGGTCATATTTCCCATATCTTCATCCAGGTGAGTAGCTCTGGGGGTAGTGGCCTGGGCAGGTAGGTCTGGGTGGGCAGGCAAAGAGTTGCCAGCTATAAGAAGGGAACTCTAGGGCAGGAAGGGGCTCAGGTCTGGGTGGAGCTGAGGCCCAAAGGTGGGAATAAAGCTAACCAGAGGGGCAGTTTGAACTGGGATAAAAGCCTAGCAAAAGCTAGGTGCTGGTGGCTCGCGTCTGTAATCCTAGCTATTCTGGAGGCTGAGATGTGAGACTCGCGGTTCCAAGCCAGCCCGGGCAGAAAAATCTATGACACTCAACTCCCATAAATTAATCAGAAAAAGCCCGAAGTCAATCTGTGGCTGAAGTGACGCTAGCCTTGGGCACAAAGGAGGCTCAGGGACAGCGCCCAGGCCCAGAGTTCAAGCCCCAGGACTGGCAAACAAAGCAAAAACTAGCCAACTGCTCTACCTAGCTCTGGGTAGAGGAACCGTATTGCACTTTGTGTGTGTGCAAAAGTAAGCTGCCTTGATGAAATCTCTTATCTCTGTCCATTCACTCCAGATTTGGGAGAGTAGTTGAGTTTCTAACCCAGGGGTCAGGCAGCGCAGTTTCCTGGATAAATAAAACCTTGTGCAAAATGTTTTCCCAGCTCAAAGTCTTCACCCTCAGTAGACTGGGTGGTGGAAAGTGGATTAGTAACTATTATCAGGCTCACTTCACCCCTAGGCACCCCAGGTTTCTTTTTTTACACTGCTGAGGGGTGGAGTCAAAGGGACAACACAACGGAGGAATCCCCCTCAGGCCTCCCAGGTCCCACCTTCCCCGGGGGCGAGGCGTCCATCCCCCTCCGGCACATGCGCACTGGGTCCCCCGGCCCCTAACCACTACCACCACCCCCGCCTCCACCCCGCTCGGAGCATGCGCGGGCCGCTTGGCGCCAAACGCAGACCCGCCCGCCGCCGAGCGCGCCAGCCTCGGGTCCCAAGGCACCGCGCGTCCGCTCCCTCTCCGACTCCGGGATGATCGGCCAGAAGACCCTCTACTCCTTCTTCTCCCCGAACCCCTCCCGGAAGCGACCTGCCTGCAGCCCCGAGCCGGCCGCCCCGGGGACCGGCGTGGCGGCCGCAGCTGAGGAGAGCGGCGAGGAGGCGGTGAGACCTAGCGAGGGACCTTGTCGGGGAGCTGGGGACGAGGGACAGGAAAGGGGAAGAAAATGGGGAGTCTTGCCTGTCCGAGGGGGCGTGAGGCGCACCGCTGACTCGCTCCACCGGAGCCTTGCGCTCCGCACAGCTTCCACGTGTTCAAAACAGCCGCCGGCGTCCCTCACGGGCCGCCATGCTGGGAGCCCGGCCAATGGAGTCGAGCCTGGGTGGCCGCGGGAACCAATCAGCGCTGAGCGGCTCCGCCCTGCGGAGCCCGCCGTCCAATTACAGGAGCGAGGGGGCCGGACCGGAAGGGTTTTGCCGCGAAAAGGCCACGTGGGGCGCGTGAGGCGGGTCTCGGAGAACAGGGCGCCCGGGCCCGGGGTCCTCCTCGCGGGCGGCTTTCGTGGGGGTGTCGCGGGCTGGCTCCCGGCTCCTCTGCGTTTTAAGTTTCGGTTGTCTGGCTTGGCTCCTTCCTGCCCCACCAATGGGCGTCTTTTGCCATCCACCTTTGGGTTTGGGCCGGAAGCTAGGGCCGGTGCGGTTCGTGACCCGCCTTTGTGGGGACCCCTTCCAGGCCAGCCCTGCCAAGAAGATCCGAGCCGGGCAGGATGAGCCGGGCACGCCGCCCTCTTCGCCCCTGAGTCCCGAGCAGCTGGGCCGCATCCAGAGGAACAAAGCCGCAGCCCTGCTCCGACTCGCGGCCCGCAACGTGCCGGTGGGCTTCGGGGAGAGCTGGAAGCAGCATCTCAGCGGGGAGTTCGGGAAACCCTACTTCATAAAGGTGAAGGAAGGTCACGTTTCAGAGCCGTACCCCTTGGGGCGGCAGGCCTTGTCTTGTTTAGGAGGCTAAGTTTCCCAATAGACTGTACATTTCACGGGCTTATCTTCTCCAATAGTCTTTTCACGACAGAGGGCTGCAAATAACGCCTTGGTGTTTTGAATCCGGAACACTTATTGGTTAGAGTTGTTAGACCCTGTAAGATAATAACATTGTTGAAGCCATTTAGTTTGCTCTCCAGGAGGCTGGTGTAGTAAAATCGTCACAGACTAAGCTAGGCTTGACTCTTTCGAGAAGGGGAGGAGAAGGAACTGGTTGGATCATCAAGAACTCCAGGCAGACAAATCCACTTAGATGTAGCCCTGGATCCAGCCCGGAGGAAAGAAATGGGCAGGTTAAGGATTGGGGGCTGGGCTTGCAGGGCGGGCAGATGATTTTTGTTGTTGCTGATTTTTAAATGGGTTTGGATTTAAAACATGACAGGGAGCTACTTGAGGCTTTTTTACTGAGTTCTTCCCCCTTCCCCCCCCCCCCCCCCCACTGATTTTAATCTTATTTTTAAATTAGCTAATGGGATTTGTTGCAGAAGAAAGAAAACATTACACTGTTTATCCTCCCCCACACCAAGTCTTCACATGGACCCAGATGTGTGACATAAGAGATGTAAGTATCATGGGTACAATTTATTAGAGGAGGGGATTAGTTCTAAGCACTGGAGTTAAACTGCAATTAGTAATTCAAGATAAATAACACAAATCCTGATGTTCCACTGACTATATGTATGTGTATGTATGTATGTATTGTATTCTTTGTAACTTCCTGAAGTGCTGTGTTTGTAGCAAGTAAGAAAAGACCTTTCCTATAGTATTAAGTATATATATATATATATATATATATATATATATATATATACACATAGACGCTTTTATTGTATATTACCCCATATTATTTCAACGATCATTGGTCTTTTTTATTTTTGCCACAGATTATGGATCTGGGGAAGTGAGGGTGTGTATTCAGAGATGCACATATAATAAGTATTCTGGATAACAGGCAAAAAGAACAAGGACAGTGTAGCTCAGTGATGGAATTCCCCTCCCCCTCCCCCAAGCTCTTGTATTTAATTTACCTAGCACCAACAAAACAAAACTAGGCTGTCCAGTGGTAAAATCAGTATGCAGTAGTTTTTGTGTCATGGAAAACCATTAGGAATTGCCTAAGCTCTTCATTTAATAGTTTCACCATCCTTTCACATTGCCCCCAGCTGCCTGATTGCTAAATTAACTGGCAGAAGAAAGAAAATGAGATCAGGAGATCCTCCTTTCACAGGATAATACATTCAGACCCTACCCAGTTAAGAAAAAGACTTCAATCTGTATAATTTGACAGAGAGAGACTACCTTTCTGGTGTGGGCATTTTGTAAATAGACTCTTCAAAAGTCCTGTGGTTTATATGGAGTAAGTTGTGTGGCCATCTGGCTTCAAAATTATCCTTTCTTTCCCTTCTCTTAGTTCTTAAATGTGCTTTCATTTTTTTACTTGATACCTAGTAATGGTACATATTTGTGGGGTATAGTGTGACATTTTGATGCCTGTGTACAAGGGGTATTATCTGATCAATGAAAGTGGTATATGAGCTGGGTGCCGATGGCTTGTGCATGTAATCCTAGTTCTCAGGAGGCTGAGATCTGAGGATCGCAGTTCAAAGCCAGCCTAGGCCAGAAACTGTGAGATTCTTTTTTTGGGGGGGGGGTCTGGTCGTGGGGCCTGAACTCTGGGCCTGGGCGCTGTCCCTCAACTCTTCAGCTCAAGGCTAGTACTCTACCACTTGAGCCACAGTACCACTTCCAGCTTTTTTTCTTTTTGCTTATGTGGTGCTGTGGAGTCGAATCCAGGGCCTCAGGCATGCAAGGCAAGCACTCTACCACTGAGCCACCTTCCCAGCCCCTCTGTGAGATTCTTATCTTCAGTTAACCACTAGAAAACTGGAAGTGGGGCTGTGGCTCAAAGTGGTAGATCACTAGACAAGCAAACAAGCTCAGGGACAGCACTGGGCCCTGAGTTCAAGCCCCACGACAGCCCCTCCTCCCCAAAATAAAGAAACTGGTATGTCCATCACATGTTTGATGTGCGTCATTGCTTATCACTGGGAACATTCATATCTTCAGTTCCATCTGTTGGTTACCTATGCGGTTTATCTGCCATAGTCACACTGCTGTGCTATAGAATGTTATTACTCTTAGCCAACCACACCTGTAGCTGTTAGCCATCTTCTCTAGCTGCTCTTCCCCCATCCCCAGGCTCCTAGAACTACTGTTCTCTACTTGTCTGAGAGTAATTATTTTTATACATGCTCTAATTTTATTTGATTCTAGCTCTTGACTCTTGGCCTGCCTTTGGGTAGGTGCTGATTGCCAACCCAATCACTCCAGTCTCCTGTTGGAAGGCAGCCAGGCTTCACTTGCATGAACTGTGAAAGTTGAGTTCGAAAGCCCTATCCTCAATAAATAGGGCGGTAGCCTACCTCCCAACCTGGCCTCTGTGTCACCCCCTGGTTTCTGCTTTTGAACCTACTTGGAGCCATTTGTGACACCATGAAACCTGTTGCCTACCACCTGTGTGTTCATTTGAGGTGGTTTCTCTTTGCAGGGCTAATTGCTCTAAATCAAGTAGATCTAAAGCAGGTGAATAGAGGATCATGCCTCATGATTTCAGAAGTTTTGGTTTTCATTTTAAAGAAACAATGTGGAATATAGCTTCTTGTTTAAAGTTTAAAAAGCAACAACAACAACAAAAAAGGTCTTCTGGGCTGGGAAGGTGGCTCAGTGGTAGAGTGCTTGCCTTGCATGCCCGAGGCCCTGGGTTCGATTCCTCAGCACCACATAAGCAAAAGGAAAAAAGCCGGAAGTGGCGCTGTGGCTCAAGTGGTAGAGCGCTAGCCTTGAGCTGAAGAGCTGAGGGACAGCGCCCAGGCCCAGAGTTCAGGCCCCACGACCGGACCCAAAAAAAGAAAAAACAACAAGAAAAAACCGGTCTTCAGTACTAGGTTTCTCTTTGTTTATCAATGATCAATATAAACCAAAAAGAGGTATGGATCTGGGAGCAGTGGCTTCTGTCTGTAATCCTAACTCCTTGGAGGTGGAGATCATTATTTCAGCTCAATGCTAGCCTGAGGAAAACGTTTACAAGACCCCAGATCAGCCAGTAATCTGGGAGTCGCAGCAGGTGCCTGTCATTCTGGCTGTAGAGGAAGCATATATAGGAAGATTGTGGTCCAGACATAACTGAGACCCTAACTGAAATATAAAAAGCACCAATATCTGCTTCTCTAGGGATCTGATGGGAGAGCAGGGTGGCTTTGTGGATGAGCGTTAGTGCTAAGCCAGAGAGGCTCAGGATCGGTCTTCATCAGGGATCAGAACCCCAGAAGTGGACAGCTGCCCTACAGGGCCTGTAACCATAGAGAAGATGCTGCCAACTAGGCTCCAGGTGTGGAAACAGCTTTCTAGTCCTCAAGAATGCTTGCATCTAGATTGAAAAGGTACAGATGCAGAGGGTAGGAGTGGTAGCAGCTGGGGAAGGTTTAAGAAGGCCTAAAGCAGGGAAGATTAGGCAGGCACAGCAGGGCTGCATTTCAACATCTTAGGTGGGCACTGTTGCTGCTTCTTGCCGCCTACCCCACAGCTCTGGGACCTGACCTCATTGTCCTGGTTTCAGCCGATCCAGGTTACAGGTCAGCAGCTATGTCTGCTCCTGTTGGTGAATTTGAATTGCTTTGACTCATTGAAAGTTACAGGGGATGGATCTGCGAAGGTTCAAAATACATTGACTGATGGGGCTGGGAAGGTGGCTCAGTGGTAGAGCGCTTGCCTTGCATGCATGAGGCCCTGGGTTCGATTCCTCAGCACCACATAAGCAAAAAGAAAAAAGCCGGAAGTGGCGCTGTGGCTCAAGTGGTAGAGCGCTAGCCTTGAGCTGAAGAGCTGAGGGACAGCACCCAGGACCAGAGTTCGGGCCCCACAACTGGACCCAAAAAAAAAAAAATACATTGACTGAAGCTGCTCTGTTGTGAATTTGTATCACACTCAGCTCCTGAGTGTAAGGATCTGAGCTAGATCCCTGCAATGGCTTCCTGAAATGGGACACCAGCCAGCTGCCCGGGAGTGGGGCTGAGCGCCAAACTGATTTAGCAGATGCCCATGCGGTGGGACACACAAAGGCAGGGTGGTGGGTTGGGCCAATAATAGGCTTCCCTTCTCACTGTCTTGTCCCTCCCCATATCACTGAGCCAGGTGACGCCTCAACGTGGTTAATCCCTTGTTGCCTCATGTTCACAGGTGAAGGTTGTCATCCTGGGACAGGATCCCTATCACGGACCCAACCAAGCTCACGGGCTCTGCTTTAGTGTCCAAAGGCCAGTCCCTCCTCCACCCAGGTAGAGTTGCTTTACCATTCCTGGCCAGTGGTTGCTGCTTGCAGATGTGAACAGAGTGAATGACTGGTGACCCTGCTTGGGGAAGCTTCCTTCCCTAGGCTCTGAAGCTGGGGTTCTCAGCCTGCCACTGTGGATAGTAGTCACTTAGGACTATTTCACTGTGTGGAACTGGGGCTGGCACTATAGGAAGTCTGGAGGACTCGGGAAGAACCACTGCTCTGAGGGATTGTATGCCATACACACAGAGGACAGATAAAAAGCTAAGCATCGAGGGAGAGGTTGGTCAGTGTCCAGAGGCCTTGTTGAGTGCTAGCCTGTCCCTGAGTCCCAGCAAGGTGTTGGGCAGGTTACCCATCTGTGCTGGGTGTTTATCACAGAGCTGAGATCTGGGTGGCCCTTCCTTCTAAGGACCGGCTTTACCTGTCCTTTTCCCACACTTATCTTCTATAGTATCATCAGACTTGAACAAGTAGGCAGTAGATTGTTTCATGTGTTCTCTTGGTTCGTTTCTAGTTTGGAAAACATTTATAAAGAGTTGTCTACAGACATAGATGGTTTTGTGCATCCGGGCCATGGAGATTTATCTGGATGGGCCAAACAAGGTAAGCCAGCCCTGCTGGGTATATTCTGACCCGACACCAGCCATCTTGTCTGCTGCTCATTAACATTTTTTTTAAAGCTACCGTGAATTGCTAGGTAGCATTAAGAAAATGGCTGAGTAGAGAACATATCTGTGTACATGTATGTTAACAATACATGCCTTTCATCTTGCAGCCCAGGCTGGCCAGGAACTCACTGTAGCCTGGGCCAACCTGGACCTTTTTTTTTTTTAACATTTTAACAAGCAGGAAAAGAGGAGTGTTATTCTTGGCTTCTTGTAGTGATTTTTGTTTCAGTGAAATACTAGGGTATATTCTTTAATGTCCTATGGTTGTTTAATATCACTTGTGATAGTCTTAGATGGTTCTGTTGATATAACCCATGTGTACTGTTGCAAGATGCCGAGGGCAGAGATGATAATCAGGTGCCCTCGAGTGCCCAGAGTTGATCCCGTCACAGTACCACCTTTTCTGTGTCCTGATTTCATGTAGCTCTTGATCCATGGGTTTCATCATCCTGTGTCTGATCCCTGCTGTGGGGGCCGGCACTGCGGCGTGCACCTCCTCACCTGCCTGCGGCCTGTGTTTACAGGTGTGCTTCTACTCAACGCTGTCCTCACCGTCCGGGCCCATCAAGCCAACTCCCACAAGGAGAGAGGTTGGGAGCAATTCACTGATGCGGTTGTGTCCTGGCTCAATCAGAACCTGAGCGGGCTTGTCTTCTTGCTTTGGGGCTCTTATGCTCAGAAGAAAGGCAGTGCCATCGACAGGGTAGGCTGGTTTTTGTCCCTGGAGACTCCCCTCCCCCTGCTGCGAGCCCCATGGGAATACATGTTAGTTACCAAAGCGCTTAGAGTCTTGGAGCCAAATTCTGTTACAGGAATGACTGGCTGTGTGTGAGGAAGGAACTGGCCAGCCTGAGGCTTAGTGGCACAGGCAGAACATGCCATAGGCAGAGGCGCAAAGGTCCCCAAGTGCCATTCTGGCTCCGTGCAGATGAGGCAAGGCTCCAAGGGGGTAGTCACTGAGCCTGAGCTGGGATTGTGAGCGCAGTGTGAGCATGCCACAAGCACTGCCTGCCCTGTCACCTGTGCACCTACCTGCTCGCTGAGAGGAGACCTTGATATCCTCCTGAAATCCTCTCGTCCCTTCCCCTAAGTCCACTCATCTGAGTCCAGTCAACTCTGCCCCTGTAAGTGTCCCATTCCTGCCTGACACAGTCACCTCTGCTCACACTCCCAAGCCAGCCGCCAGCATTTCTCTGCAGGGCAAGCAGGCAGGTTAGCAATGGCGGCAGGTGTCTGCAGAGGAAGGAGGGAGAGAGGACTTGCTGACTTGGGAAGGGTGGGCAGGGGGAATTATGGGTAAATGCTTCCTCTGTAAGTGAGGTTATAGGCTTACCCGGGTAACCCGGGGCATCTGAGGCCTTCAGTGAGACAGGTCCACCCCTAGTGTCATGTGAACTTGGTTGTGCCTAGTCTCCCTTTGTGCAAACATTTCTGGGGTGGGTGGATAAGCTTACCCGAATTTGTTTTGGATCTCTCCCTCAGGGTTCTGGGGCTGGAGCTCAGTCAGCTCAGTGGGTCCACACCCGATGGTGGTAGCATTCTAACCCAGTAATAGAAGTCTACAGACTCAGTGGTAGAGCGCTTGCCTTGCATGCTCGAGGCCCTGGGTTCGATTCCTCAGCACCACATAAGCAAAAAGAAAAAAGCCGGAAGTGGCGGAAGTGGCGCTGTGGCTCAAGTGGTAGAGCGCTAGCCTTGAGCTGAAGAGCCGAGGGACAGCGCCCAGGCCCTGAGTTCAGGCTCCATGACCGGACCCCAAAAAAAAAAAAAAAAAGTCTACAGACTTCTCTCGTATTTTTTTCTGTAATTTTTTGATATGTTGAAACAATATTCAGCTTAGGCTAGCCTGCAACCTACTATGTAGCCTTGAGAGGTAGTCTTGAGGGCTGGGATTACAGATACACTATCGTACCCAATTCTCTTTTCTCTTTAGTGAAGTAGACAGCCTAGGCACTGACCCTGAACTCAGCACCACTTCCAGTTTTCTGGTGGTTAATGGTAGTAGATAAGAGTCACAGACTTTCCTGCCTGGGCTGGCTTTGAACAGTGATCCTCAGATCTCAGCCTTTTTGAGTAGCTATGATTACAGGTGTAAGCCACCAGCACCCAGCTAGCTTCACTTTCTGATACATGTATGTGTTCACAAACAAAGAACAGTCGAGTGTACAAATCTGATTAAATAGCTGCTTTGTCTACAGAGGTTGTATGAGGGAACACAGTACTGGGTTCTTTTAGAAAAGGAACGGCAGGTGAACACATGAGAACAGTTGCTATTTAAGTAGGTAAGAAATGTGCATGAAAGTGGTTTCCTGTCTCTGCCCCAGGCAGGTTTAAGGCCAGCTTCACTGTTACTCAGAACATAGGTAATCATGATTAGTAGGCGCGTCCTTGTGTAAGGTAAGAGGCTTGCACATGCGGATCAGGCTACAGGTGTCTGGAGAAGCACATCACACTCCACATCCTCCTTCCTGATACCTCTCTCACTGCTCAGTGAGAAAACACCACCCTGTGCACACCTGTCCAACCAGAAATCTGGTACCTGCCATGCACAGTACCCACCTGTTTTCCTGCACGTGGCAGTCCTTCATACTTTCCTGCATGCTTCTGTCTGTCTCTGCTTCTCAGATGCCTTGCACCCTGATGCCCTTTTGCCTTGCATCAGCTCTGATCTGCTTGTGCTGGGTGTGCTCCAATGCCTTCTCAAGATCTGGGCTTACTTAGGCTGCCCAGCTGCTTTGGCGATGGTCTCCAGCCAGCTTCGTGGCCCTTACTCTTTGGTTTCTCCTCGGAGCTATAGGCTGGCTGAACCCCCAGTATCTTCCATGGTGCCCCACTCCCTGCTCATCTTTGCCCAGCCTAGGGTCTCTTTTCTTCCCAGCTGTGCTGCTTGCCAGTGTTGTGAAGTTGGTGGCCCTTCCCATAATCCAGTGTCAGTACTCCTCATCTACTCCTGCTCTGAAATCAGAACTAGGCACTGTCATGGACTGCAGAGCAGAGACCGGCACTCAAGCTGTCTGGCTCTGCTCAGGGCTCCTGACTGTGTTCCACTGTGTCTGTGCTGGGCTACTTCCTTTCCATTTTGTAGGTTTAAGTGCAAAACCCATTATTTCAGTACAGATAAGAATAGGGGTTAAAGGGACTGGGAAGGTGGCTCAGTGTAGAGCACTTGCCTTGCATGCATGAGGCCCTGAGTTCGATTCCTCAGCACCACGTAAGCAGAAAAAGCCGGAAGTGGTGCTGTGGCTCAAGTGGTAGAGCACTAGCCTTGAGCTGAAATGCTGAGGGAGGGTGCCCAGGCCCCAGGACTGGCAAAAAAAAAAAAAGAATAAGGGTGAAAGCAAAAATGGCCAGTTGTGTTCCCCACTCAGATGAACTAGAGTTGACATGTAAAAAGAAAATCGAAGCAGTTTTGGTCCTAGGGCTTGAACTCAGTCCTGATTGCTGTCCCTGAGCTTTTCTTGCTCAAGGCTAATGCTCTACTACTGCAGCCACAACTCTTCCTGTAGCTTTTTGGAGGTTAATTGGAGATCAGAGTCTCACATACTTTTCCTGCCCAGGCTGGCTTTGAACCATGATCCTCAAAGCTCAGCCTCCTGGGTAGGTAGGATTATATGTAGGTGGGAGCCACAGCACCCAGATTGTACTACCTAATACACAGGCAAGACAAAGAGGAATTGCATGGTTGTCTTTACCCAGCCCTCATCTGCCACCTTGTACTGTACTCTCTTTCAGAAGCGGCACCACATCCTGCAGACCGCTCATCCCTCCCCGCTGTCCGTGTACCGAGGGTTCTTTGGGTGTAGACATTTTTCGAAAGCCAATGAGTTGCTGAAGAAGTCTGGCAAGAAGCCCATCAACTGGAAAGAGCTGTGACCCCACGCAAAGGGGCAGTCTGACTCCAGGGGTGGTTTGGAAGAGCCCCTGTGGAAGTGTTTGTCACTTGTGGGGTGGGGTCATTGACATTCAAATAGGCTGCACAGGGCCTGCAGCCCTATCCAGCCAGAAACAGCAGTTCCTCTAACCATCCGCACCTGCGCCTCCCATCCTGGCAAGATAAGGGCCAGGCGGCTTGTCCTGAAATCCACACTCACTTGAATCCCACTTTTTTGGGGGGTGAAAGAGGAGACTTGTAGCTTTTGGGCCCAACAAGTAGTTTGCTTCTAGCTGCTTGTTTTTGACCTGCTAGATAGACTTGATAGGTTCTGGGGTGCTGGGCATTGTTTAGAAAGCTTTGAGTCTATTTCTTTGGAAGTATGGGCCAAGGTGGCAAGGGGTGGGGTGGGCAGGGTGGGGTGTCTATTCCTCCCTTGTTGGGAGTGGAGGGGAACAGGCAGGAACAGCAGATGGGTCTCTGTCCTGTTCTCTGGTAGTTCTCTGGAGTAAGTGGGGGAGTTTGGACCCAGAGAATGAAGGTTTTGTTTTAGTGTAGGGTGGGTGAATTTTCTAGGGCTGTGAAGAATCGGCGTTCCATATCAGCAGATTGCTGCACACTCTGGGTTTTGTTTTTTTTTTGGGGGGGGGGGTGTATGCTGGTGTGTGTGGGTGTGTGTTTAACTGGGGATCAAACCCAGGCCTGTATACCTCTGCGCTATATAATCCCAGCCCCAAGTGCCTTTTTTTTATGTACTGAAATAGTTTTGGAGTATATTTTTATACACTGGAGTTTTTTGTTTTAAATACAAAGTACCTGTGTAGTTGGGCAGTGTTTCTCAACTCTTGTTTAAGAGACAGTCTTTATGGGATCCTCATCTCCACCTTAGATCCTGGACAGTGGGGTTAAAGTGTTAACTCTGCGCCTGTTGTTAATAAAAGATGGTTGAAGTTTTCCTTGGTGCTGACTGCTCTTTGGCTCCTGGGAAGCCCTTGGCCCACCCTTGTACTTGGCCTATCAAGTTGCCATAGTAACCATTGTCCCCAGTCAGTGCCTCTCCTTCTTCCTCTTTCCACTCGGCCAGGCCTGGAGCACCCAACCCTAAGTGCCTGGGCAGGCTAGCTTGGAGTCTTCTGGGGTCCCTGAAAGTGTCAGCTCTTAGCCAGGAAAAGGACTTCCTTGGGAAACTTGGCACGTCCATGCTGCTTGTGTTCTGCCATACCCTGTGACTGTTTCTAGACTCTTGAGAATGGATGTGTGTGGGGTTTGGAGGTAATGGTGGCTCCTTGGCCTGCTAGTACGGAGGCTTGTAGCTGGGGAAGGAAGCAAAGCATGATGGGAGAAGGGGGATGGAGCTGTGTGCCATCCTGCAGTAAGATGGGAGACTTTACTCTTGACTGGAAACTGCTTCTTCCCTGTGCCTTTCTTCCCTTGTCTGTGAAAGGATTATGATCTTTGGGGGCTGCAGGAGGCCCAGGAAGGAGGAAGAAGTCTCCTCAAGACTCTTACCCGGGGCAGAGGTGAGGGGTAAGGGTTTTACACCCATTAAGCTCTGGGACCTTTCTCCTAGCACAGTGCTGGGCGTAGGGAGAAGCAGCTACTGTAAGAACTGAAGAAACAAGACAGTGGGATGCTTTTAAGAATATCAGAACCAAGCCTGATGATAGACCCTGAAAGGCCAGCACTGGAGGCTGAGCCAATAAGGCAAGAGTTTAGGCCAGCCTGGGCCACAGACAGAGCATCCCAAATCCAAAAGGAAGAAAATGAAGATCAGTATTGCTATGTCATATGTAAGGCATATCATGTACATTTGTATATGTATGCACATATACACACAATATATGTGTGACTTCTATCTCCAGTAAAACCACACAAAAAGTCAGAAGTGCACCTGTGCCTCAAGCAGTGGTAGAGTGCTAGCCTTGAGCAAAATAGCTCAAGGACAGTACCCAAGCTTTAAGTTCAAGCCCCAGGACCAACACATAAGTACCCAAAGAATGACTCTTGGAAATCAGTTACGTAAATGTCATCCTGCCAACTCCTGGTTGCAAAATAATTGTGTGAAAGTTCGCTATCTGGTTTTGATCTGAGTCTTGCTAGGGGCAAAGTCAGACTTGAGTTGATAGGGTTTTTTGTTGTTGGGGTTTTTTTTTGGGGGGGGGGGAGGTCCAGTTGTGGGGCCTGAACTCCGCCTGGGTGCTGTCCCTCAGCTCTTCAGCTCAAGGCTAGCGCTCTACCACTTGAGCCACAGCGCCACTTCCGGCTTTTTTCTCTTATGTGGTGCTGAGGAATCAAACCCAGGGCCTCAGGCATGCAAGGCAAGCACTCTACCACTGAACCACCTTCCCAGCCCTTTGTTGTTTTCTAAACAAGCCTTAGCTTGTTGTTAGCTGTATGATACAAAATATATCCTTTTCTACTTGGAATTCACTGCTTCACTTTGCTTCTGGGACTAAAAACTGAGAAAGGGTTTTTTTTTTTTTTGTCGGTCATGGGGCTTGAACTCTGGGCCTGGGCGTTGTCCCACAGCTCTTCAGCTCAAGGCGAGCGCTCTACCACTTGAGCTACAGCGCCACTTCTGGTTTTCTAGTGGCTTATTGGAGATAGGAGTCTCACGGTCTTTCCTGCCCGGGCTGGCTTTGAACTGCGATTCTCAGATCTCAGCCTCCTGAGTAGCTAGGATTACAGGCGTGAGCCACCGGCGCCCAGCGTGAGAAAGGGTTTTTAATGGAGAAGCAAGCCTTTTTGGCATACGTGTATGCCATGGTGATAGTGGCTTTTCATCCTAGCCAAACCTTCCAGACGGATGAAGAAAAACAGGTAGAGAGGCTTTGGGCTACTTGGGAGAAGTCTTCTGTCTTGGCGTAACTTGAGGACGGGCTGGCTGGAACATTTGCCTGCTGGGGAGTGGCTTTTTCATACTTCAAAGTCTCTCAATGTGAAGTTCTCTCGGAGGGTGGGCAGGATGTGGCTTAGTGGTAAAGTACTTGCCTAACTTGCTGGAGACCCTAATCCCTAGAATGATCCCAGAACCTGAGAGGAACACTCCTATCCCCAAATTAGAAGCAGTGGCTAATCTGGGGCCCAGAAGATGGTATTAGGGATGGAACCCAGGGCCTCTGGAAATACTAGGCTATACCAAGTACTTCAGGGAGTTGGTTAGGCCAAGAAATCAATACTTCAGTTTTTTGCTGGCTTCTCAGTGCACATTTCCTATTCCTTTCTTTGAAACGTGGGGTAAGGAGAAGAAAGACCAGAGATTTCCCCCCACCATACACACAATACTTATTTATGCAGGGCTGGGTGTTGTAGCTCAGTGGTAGAACACTGGTTTAGCCTGCTCAAGGCCTTGGGTTTCAAGTGGTAATTTCATGATTTTTTTTTAAGTTTTGGCAAATCTCTTGATAGATCTGACCTCCTGGATTCAGGGTATATTTGAAAAGATTGATGCTTCTATCAATATCTGTGTGTGTGTTTTCCAGTCCTGGAATTTGAACTCAGAGTCTGGGTGTTATCCTGAGCATTTTGCTTAAGGCCAGTGCCCTACCATGAACCACAGCTCCACTTCTTTTTATGCATGTTTAATTGGAGAATGGAGATTCACAAACTTTCCTGCCCAGGCTGGCTTTGAACCACAATCCTCAGATCTTGATCTTTTTGAAAGTAGTTAAATAGTGAGAAAGCTCAGCACATTTAATTTTTTCTCCATGTGATGAAGTAGGTGATTAGAACTCTCATTCTTGAAGTCCTGGGGCTTGACCTCAGGGCCTGGACACTCACTGTCCCTGAGCTTTTTGGGTCAAACCTAGCCCTCTATACCACTTGAACTACTGCTATACTTCTGGCTTTTGGGTGGTTAATTGGAGATGAGAGTCTCAGACTTTCCTGCCCCAGCTGGCTTTGAACTGCTATCTTCAGCTCTCTTGAGTAGCTAGGATTACAGATGTGAGCCACTAACATCCATCTGAGAGAGTTCTGAGTGAACTCTGGTGCTTTTGCCCATTTCTTCTGCTTACGGAGGAGAAGCTGCTGTCTATTCCCTGTCAAGCACAATGCGCTTTTGTATGGTTTCAGCTCCCCTGGGCCTGGAAGTGACCTATATCCCATATGTTTTGGAACACTAAAACCAGCCACAGCAGGTGCAGATTTCCTCTTGTCTGCCCCCTTCTCCCCAGCTAGGGCCACCTGACCCGGAACAGAACAAGCTTTTTTTTATTTTTCCAAGAAATCAGAAACATTCCAGTAAGTAGTGATCTTGTCTAGAGAGAAAAGAGAAGAGACCGCTCCCTGCTCCCTTCTCTCAGGCTCTTTCTCTGTGGGCCAGGTTCTCAAATGACAGACAACCTGTCATTTGACAGTGATTTTGCTGAAGATCTCTGTGAAAGAAATAGAGCTGTAGGTGGAGGAGTGGAAGGTGGCACTCCTTGGAATGAAATGGCCTGCATAGTGCCCTGGTGAGGGACATGCCGCTGCCCCCCCCCCCCCCGCCCCTTCACCTTACTGCTGCCAGTCAGGGCTTTGAAGGTTAAATGCTTCAGGATATTTTTAAACAGCTGGAGCTGGTTAATCTATGAAGTGACATTTAGTCACAGTCTACAGCAGCCAGCAGGTTGCCATTCAGGCCTTTGGCAAACAGGCATAGATTCAAGCCCTCAGGGAGGACACTGTGGAAAAAAGGAGGCCCCGAGAACACAACAGAGAAACATGGGAAAAGCCCGGCAGAGGCAATAAAGGGGTAAGTCAGCCCTCAGCCCGCCTCTCGCCTCTCTCGGGGCTCATCAACTACAAAGCCAGCATCCAAGGGGGCAGGAATTGAGTAGGTGTCACAAAGAGGCACTTGGGGTTTCTGAGGGACCCTTTGAGGTTACTGCTGAACATGGTTTGTGTAAAACTTTGTGATCTTGAGTCCTGTGCCCTCACAGTATGCTACTCTTAATTCTGATCTGTCCTTTTAACTATGGTTTTTAAGTTTGGTGTGGGCCTCTGTGCAGATGAAGTGACCAGCCATTCTAGCTTGTCCAGGACTGAGGGGCCAATCCTCGGACTTAGGGCTTTCAGTTTAAAAACTGAAAGACAAAGAGTTGTTTCTAATTGCATTGTTGTTCTAAGTGTGCCTGCAGGTTCTTTACCAGACCTGATTTTCTTCATGGGGAAAACTTAGCTGATCAGAGGGGCTGGTATCTCCCCAATCTGCGACTTCCCTTGATAATCTGTGGATAGACAGAGGTCATGGGTGAAGGTGTTTTCTTTGTTCCTGTTCAGAGGTTATGTAAAGTCCTTTGTCCTCCGGTACCTTTAGGTCTGAGACAGAAGAAATTCGATCATTGTATAACGAGACTGTAGGGCTACTACTATGGGGCTACCTACCCGGTGACATAGATAGATGTCGAT